TTATTTTTTATTTTTTTTTTTCATTTTAGTTTTGGAGACAAATAATGAAGACATTTTTTTTTTTTTTTCTTATTTTTGGTTTTATTTTGAAAAACGAATGAACGAACGACACACGGATTATTTAGGCTGAGTTTGGAAAATACATAATGAAAAGTTTTTTTTTTTTTTTTTACTTTCTACATTTATATAAACAAAATAAAAATCTAAAGTAGAGCTGTTTAAAGTCACACTGTGGAACATTCCAGACAGAAAAGTTACACAATGCGCCTTTAAACACATGTGAATGAAACAAAACAACAACTCCAGGTCAACGCTCAACACCGTCTCCTTACTTCTTGGCTTTCCGCGGGGTGACGTTGAAAGGGGGTCCCGGGGGTCCCAGAGACTTCGGGAAAACATCCACCCACATCATCAGACGACCCTGACGGACAGCCACAACAGCCAATCAGCACGCGGGGACCTCTGATCACGGACCAATCAGAACACGGGGAGGGAGGCTGAAGCGCGTTACCTGCTCGATGTCCGGCTGCAGGGGGCTGTACAGCTTCCTGGTCTCCACGTGTTCGGGCACCAGTCCCAGGCGTCTGAGGCAGAGCAGGGCCAGTCTCTCCTCCACGGGGCCCAGGTGAGGGTTGGACTGTTTACTCTCCTCTTTTAAACACACAAAAAAGGAAAAAGAAAAAGAATTAGACACGTGATTCATTCTTCCCTGAATGTTTAAGCAATCGAACGTGGTATAAAGCTATTTTCTGATCTCTGTTCTAATGTCGTTTCCTCATCACAAACAGACCTGGAGTTGCGTTTTGTTTCATTCGCACATGTTTAACAAACCCTGGATATTTTTCTCTGTTCCAACTCCGTTCCACCTTGTGATGTCATCAAATGGTCATACGAGACGTGTTTTAAACCTCCATACACGTCCACTAGAATCATTTGGTCTTTGAGCTTTGGAGACGTACACGGACTCACGGTGCGTTCGATTATCCATCCGTCTCGGAGGTCAGAGGACGTTGCCTAGAGACAAGCACTGACACGCCCCTTTTCCCCTGACGGCGGAACTCGGAAGAACTCAGAGGAGGCCGAGCCAGGATTCCGAGATAGAATCGAGTGTCACTTTTAAGTATGAAATGTTTTCATTGTGTTTGGAGGCTTTGGTGGTCGGTGTTGGTGTTACGGTGGTCGGTGTTGTAGTTGATGTTGTGGTGCACGGTGTTGTGGTGGTCGGTGTTGCAATGGTTGGTGTTGCGGTAGTCAATGTTGCGGTGGACGGTGTTGCGGTGGACGGTGTTGCGGTGGATGGTGTTGCAATGGTTGGGTTTGCGGTGGACGGTGTTGTGTGGGTGGGTTGCGGTGGACGGTGTTGCAGTAGTCAATGTTGCGTGTGGACGTGTGGGTGGTGTTGCAATGGTTGGTGTTGCGGTAGTCAATGTTGCGGTGGACGGTGTTGCAATGGTTGGTGTTGCGGCAGTCGATGTTGCGGTGGACGGTGTTGTAGTCGGGGTTGCGGTAGTCGATGTTGCTGCGGCAGTAGGTGTTGTGGCAGTCGGTGTCGCGGCCGTCGGTGTCGCGGCCGTCGGTGTCGCAACAGTTGGGGTTGTGGTGGTCGGTGTTGTGGTGATCGTGTTGAAGGCAGTCAGTGTTGCGGCAGTCGGTGGTGGTGGTCAGTATTGCAGGGGTCAGTGTTGCGGCGGTCGGTGTTGTAGTCGGTGTTACGGTAATTGGTGTTGCAGTAGTCGATGTTGCTGCGGCAGTCGGTGTTGTGGCAGTCGGGGTTGCAGCTGTAGGTGTCGCCGTAGTTGTGTCGCTGTGGTCAGTGTTGCGGTGGTCGGTGTTATGGCTGTCGGTGTCGCGGCCGTTGGTGTCGCGACAGACGGGGTTGTGGTGGTCGATGTTATGGTGGTCAGTATTGCAGGGGTCGGTGTTGTAGTCGGTGTTGCGGTAGTTGGTGTTGCAGTAGTCGATGTTGCGGCTGTAGGTGTCGCTGTAGTTGTGTTGCGGCGGTCGGTGTTGCGGTGTGTTGCGCGGTGTTGGTGTTGCGGCAGTCGGTTGCAGCGGTCGGTGTTGCGGCGGTCGGTGTTGCGGCAGTCAGCGTTGCGGCGGTCGGTGTTGGCGTGTGCACGTTTTTCTCTAATTCGGACAAGCGAAACATAATAAAACGCTTGAAGTGCGAACATGACGTCACATCCGAAATCCGAGCGGGAGATGAACAGATAATCCCACACACCACCATAATAAAAAGTTACTCAAACAAACCTCCAGGTCTGTTTTTGACGAGGGAACGACATTAGAACACGACTTAAAGGTGCACCGTGTAACATCTAAGGAGGGTCCACTTTTGCCTGGAATGTTCCACAGTAGGGCATTAAACAAATCTCCCATGTACTGTGTGTTGTAGCTCAAAAATACCTTAAAAACACAAACTAGATCTGACCATTGTGACATAATCAAGACAAAACAGTAATAGACCGTCCACGAAAAGTTCCACAGTGCACCTTTAAAGCTCACAAGAGTGGATTTTGAATGTGTTTCCAGTTTTGTGTGACACGTTTGAGGCGTGGTGTGCGTTTGTTCGTACTCAGGTCGGCCGTGGTGAGATGTTCTCCTCTGAACTGGACCGTGTGTCCCTGGTACTGAGGCCTCCTGATGCTCCTCCGCTCACAGACTCTGTCCAGGATCTGACGAGGACTCAGCTGACCCCTCCACCGGTTCACCCCAGACCTGAGGACAACAAGGACCAGGAACCAGGACTGAACCAGGACTGAACCAGGACTGAACCAGGACTGAACCAGGACTAAACCAGGACTGAACAAGGACTAAACCAGGACTGAACCGGGACTAAACCGGGACTGAACAAGGACTAAAACCCAAGGACTGAACCAGGACTGAAACCAGGACTGAACCAGGACTGAACCAGGACTGAACCAGGACTGAAAACCAGGACTAAACCAGGACTGGAACCAGGACTGAACCAGGACTGAAACCAGGACTAAACCAGGACTGAAACCAGGACTGAACAGGACTGAACCAGGACTGAACCAGACTAAACTAAACCAGGACTAACCAGGACTAAACCAGGACTGAACCAAGACTGAACCAGGACTGAACCAGGACTAAACCAGGACTGAACCGGGACTGAAACCAGGACTGAAACCAGGACTGAACCAGGACTAAACCAGGACTGAACCAGGACTAAACCAGGACTGGACTAACCAGGACTGAACCAGGACTAAACCAAGACTAAACCAGGACTAAACCAGGACTTAAACCAGGACTGAACAAGGACTAAACCAGGACTGAACCAGGACTGAACCAGGACTGAAACCAAGACTAAGCCAGGACTGAACCAGGACTTAAACCAGGACTAAAACCAGGACTAAACCAGGACTGAACCAGGACTAAACCAGGACTGAACCAGGACTAAACCAGGACTAAACCAGGACTGAACCAAGACTGAACCAGGACTAAACCAGGACTAAACTGGAACTCAACCAGGACTAATCCAGAACAAAATCACGACTAAACTGGAACTAAACCAAGACCTAAACCAGGACTAAACCAGGCCTGAACCAGGACTTGAACCAAGACTGAAACAGGACTGAACCAGGACTGAACCAGGACTATTTCATTACTAAACCAGGACTAAACCAGGACTAAACTGGAACTCAGCCAGAACAAAATCAGGATTAAAATGGAGCTCAGCCTGGTCTAAACCAAGACTAAACCAGAGTTTACCTGGATTAAAACCAGAACTCAACCACCAGGACTAAACTGGAACTCAACCAGGACTAATCCAGAACAAAATCACGACTAAACTGGAACTAAACCTGGACTAAACCTGGACTAAATCAGAAATCAAGCAGGTCTAAATAAAAAAACATATTAAGGTGCTTATTTCTTGTATTGGAATTCAAGCATTAACAAACCAGGACTAAACTGGAACTAAACTAAGACTAAACCAAACCTCGACCAGGACTAAACCGGAACTCAACCAGGACTAAATCAAACATAAAAAGGTGCTAAGAGTGACTCCCCGTGGCCTCACACCTCCATCTTTGACCTGTTTTGTTGTGCGTCAGGTCTAAACCCAGTCCGGACTCACGTGCAGTAGGTCTGGGGCAGTCCGCACGTGGCGCCGTGTTTGGACAGGAAGCGGTTCTCCAGGTCGATGACGGTTTCTCCGATCTTCTCGTCCTTGGTGAGGAGGTCGTGGTCGTACAGAGCCACGCGCAGGTCCTTCTCCAGAGGCAGAGAGCAGCTCAGCTCAAACATCCTGCACGGACAAAACGGGACATCGGGAAAAGGTCTGGAACGTGCGCGATGGAACTTTTTCGATGGAAGGTCTCATCTCCAAGAAGATGTTTGCATTATACTATACACAATACAAAACCAGGACTAAACTGGGACTGTACCTGCGAGGAAACCAGGACTAGAGCAGGACTAAAAGAAGACTAAACCAAGACTAAACCAGGACTAAAAGAAGACTAAACCAAACTAAACAAGGATTAAAAGAAGACTAAACCAGGACTAAACAAGGACTAAAAGACTAAACCAAGACTAAACAAGGACTAAAAGAAGACTAAACCAGGACTAAACCAGGACTAAAAGAAGACTAAACCAGACTAAACCAGGACTAAAGAAGACTAAACAAGACTAAACAAGGACTAAAAGAAGACTAAACCAGACTAAACAAGGACTAAAAGAAGACTAAACCAGAACTAAACCAGGACTAAAAGAAGACTAAACCAGAACTAAACCAGGATTAAAAGAAAGACTAAACCAGGACTAAACAAGGACTAAAAGAAACTAAACCAAGACTAAACCAGGACTAAACCAGGACTAAAAGAGACTAAACAGGACTAAAAACTAAACAAAGGACTAAACAGGACTAAAACCAGGACTAAACAAGACTAAACCAGAACTAAACCAGGATTAAAAGAAAACTAAACCAAGACTAAACAAGGACTAAAAGAAGACTAAACCAGGACTAAACCAGGACTAAACAAGGACTAAAAGAAGACTAAACCAGACTAAACCAGGACTAAACCAGGACTAAAACTAAACTAAAACAGAACTAAACCAGGATTAAAAGAAGAAAAAACCAAGACTAAACAAGGACTAAAAGAAGACTAAACCAGGACTAAACCAGAACTAAACCAGGACTAAAACAAGACTAAACCAGGACTAAACAAGGACTAAAATAAGACTAAACCAGGACTAAAATAAGACTAAACCAGAACTAAACCAGGACTAAACCAGGACTAAAACAAGACTAAACCAGGACTAAACAAGGACTAAAAGAAGACTAAACCAGGACTAAAATAAGACTAAACCAGGACTAAACCAGAACTAAACCAGGACTAAAACAAGACTAAACCAGGACTAAAAGAAGACTAAACCAGAACTAAACCAGGATTAAAAGAAGACTAAACCAGAACTAAACCAGGATTAAAAGAAGACTAAACCAGAACTAAACCAGGATTAAAAGAAGACTAAACCAAGACTAAACAAGGACTAAAAGAAGACTAAACCAGGATTAAAAGAAGATTAAACCAGGACTAAACCAGAACTAAACCAGGACTAAAAACTAAGACTAAACAGACTAAACAGACTAAACAGGACTAAAAGAAGACTAAACCAGGACTAAACCAGACTAAACCAGGACTAAACCAGGACTAAAACAAGACTAAACCAGGACTAAACAAGGACTAAAAGAAGACTAAACCAGAACTAAACCAGGACTAAAAGAAGACTAAACCAGGACTAAAATAAGACTAAACCAGAACTAAACCAGGACTAAACCAGGACTAAAACAAGACTAAACCAGGACTAAACAAGGACTAAAATAAGACTAAACCAGACTAAACCAGACTAAACCATAAACCAGGACTAAAACCAGACTAAAAAGAAGACTAAACCAGGACTAAACAAGGACTAAAAGAAGACTAAACCAGGACTAAACTAGGACTAAAAGAAGACTAAACCAGGACTAAAATAGGACTAAACCAGAACTAAACCAGGACTAAACCAGGATTAAAAGAAGAATAAACCAGGACTAAACTAGGACTAAAAGAAGAATAAACCAGGACTAAACCAGGACTAAAAGAAGACTAAACCAGGACTAAAAGAAGAATAAACCAGGACAAAACCAGGACTAAAAGAAGAATAAACCAGGACTAAACAAGGACTAAAAGAAGACTAAACCAGGACTAAACCAGGACTAAAACAAGACTAAACCAGGACTAAACAAGGACTAAACGAAGACTAAACCAGGACTAAACCAGGACTAAAACAAGACTAAACCAGGACTAAACCAGGACTAAACAAGGATTAAAATGAAGAATAAACCAGGACTAAACAGAAGTGGGAGCGACATGTTCCAGTTTGTTCCTGTAAAATTCAGCATCGCATTTATCAACTGTAAAGAAAAATGTATTTTATAAAAACAGATTTTTTTTTTTTTTTTTTTAGAAAAAGCATCAAGTCTTCTCAAATCACAGGCCTCATGTCCGGAGTCGAGTCCCAAGTCTCTGTCTATTTGATCAAGTCTCAAATTGTAAAAATAGTGACGCAAGTCTGACTCAGGTGCTGGGTGAGTGAACAGTGACCTCTAGTGGCCACACAGAGCAACAGGATTTCACTATTATTACAGTGAGTGGAGTTCTGATTTTATTACATAATTTGAAGGTCTGTCTGTAAAATTTAAAAAACCTTTTGCTTTTTATGACAAACTCACAAACTATATAAATATGAAGGTATATTAGGACAAGATTAGCAGATAATGAAGCAGACAAATACAGTTTTTAATAAGAACGTTGGGTTCTTAAAGGGCCGGTACGTACTTTCCGAACACGGGCTCCAGGGTGCAGGGGATGTAGTTGTCGTGGTCGTTTATGATTTTCTTCCCCAAACTGATCTTCACGTACGGGTCACACTGAGCTCACACAAACACAAACATATACATGAATATCTGAGTATATATTATATTTATTTATACTGAGAATATAGAATATGTTTAAGGGTTGAAATGGGCATTTCAACAGAAAAAAACATTTATCAATGAACTGAACCAGAATTAAATAACAAATAAACCAGGATTTAACCAGGTCTAAACCAGGACTAAACCAGGACATAACCAAGACTAAAATAAGACTAAACCAGGACTACAAGTTAATACACTTGGACTAAACCACTACTAAACCAGGACTAAACCAGGACTAAACTAAACCAGGACTAAAACAGGACTAGACAAGGAATAAACAAGGTCTAAACCAGGTCTAAACTAGGACTAAACCAGGACTAAGACAGGACTAGACCGGGACTAAACAGGACTAAACAAGGTCTAAACCAGGACTAAGTCAGTCTTAAATAAGACAAAACCAGGACTAAACGGGTCTTGTTGCGTGTTTCCGTACCTTCCCGTTGGGGTCTTTGGGCTGCAGTCCGTGGGCCTGGATGACGTAGACTCGGACCACACAGTCCTCGATGCCGTTCGGGGGCAGTTTGGAGAAGAGTCTGGGGGGCAGAGGGGCAGAAGGGTCGTCGGGCAGAGGGTAGATCCTGAACATGCCCTGGAGGAAAAAACAAAACAAAAGAAAAATATGTTTAATATCACATCAAAATCTAAACTAAACTGAGGCTGAACCCGCAAGGAAACCAGGACTAGAGCAGGACTAAAAGAAGACTAAACCAAGACTAAAGCAGGACTAAAAGAAGAATAAACCAAGACTAAAGCAGGACTAAAAGAAGAATAAACCAAGACTAAAGCAGGACTAAAAGAAGAATAAACCAAGACTAAAGCAGGACTAAAAGAAGACTAAACCAAGACTAAAGCAGGACTAAAAGAAGAATAAACCAAGACTAAAGCAGGACTAAAAGAAGAATAAACCAAGACTAAAGCAGGACTAAAAGAAGAATAAACCAAGACTAAAGCAGGACTAAAAGAAGAATAAACCAGGACTAAAGCAGGACTAAAAGAAGAATAAACCAAGACTAAAGCAGGACTAAAAGAAGAATAAACCAAGACTAAAGCAGGACTAAAAGAAGAATAAACCAGACTAAAGCAGGACTAAAAGAAGAATAAACCAGGACTAAAGCAGGACTAAAAGAAGAATAAACCAAGACTAAAGCAGGACTAAAAGAAGAATAAACCAAGACTAAAGCAGGACTAAAAGAAGAATAAACCAAGACTAAAGCAGGACTAAAAGAAGACTAAACCAGGACTAAAACCAGGCCTAAAATAAGACTAAACCAGGACTAAAAAAGCGATTAAACCAGGACTAACAGAAGACTAAACCAGGTCTAAACCAGGACTAGAGCAGGACTAAACCAGGACTAAACCAGGTCTAAAATAAGACTAAACCAGGACTAAAAAAACAATTAAACCAGGACTAACAGAAGACTAAACCAGGACAAAACCAGGACTAAAAGAAGACTAAACCAAGACTAAAAGAAGACTAAACCAGGATTTAAAAAAAAGACTAAACCTGGACAAAACCAGGACTAAAAGAAGACTAAACTAGGACTAAAAGAAGACAAAACCAGGACTCAAAGAAGACTAAACTAGGACTAAAAGAAGACTAAACCAAGACTAAAAGAAGACTAAACCAGGATTTAAAAAAAACTAAACCTGGACAAAACCAGGACTAAAAGAAGACTAAACCGGGATTAAAAGAAGACTAAACCAGCACTGGTGACATGACGCAGTTGTGGAAGACACTCTGCCTCAGTTGACAGTCGTGCTGGGAGCAGGGGGCCCGTCCCTCCTGGGTGGAGAGAGCAGCACATCGGGCACCCACAGCCCCAAGAAGAAGCACACCTCCTGGCCGCCCCAGAGCCAGTCGCGGCGCACTGGAGGAATCGGGGGCCGGGGACACTGTCAGAATAATTTTATTATCCCATATTTGCTAAATACTTGTGTGATATTCTAGGCCTATGAGTTAACCATTTATGTACTACAATTCTTTGATTTATAATGTACCAATCACTTGTCACTTGTTGAATAACCTCTGTGTGTTTGACAACTGTGTGCAGTGTCCTATCGCTCTAGTGAACCTCGAGATGATTCCTCACATGAAGCCAACTCCCACTGTCACACATGCAAGAGTTATGATGGTGTCTGACCTAAGGCACCTCCTGATTGTTAATCATGTTTTATGTGTTTGTACTATGCATAGCTTCATCAGTTTCTTATTATGTCTTTGCTGGTTTCCCCTTCCCCTTGAGAATTATCATTCTGTAACTAGGGCCTCCTAATGAAATAAAAGGAGGAGAGCGGCCTTGAGTCATCAGAACGTGTGGAGACTGTTGGTTTTGATGCCCACTCTCTGCCCGTTCTCCTCGCGAGTAAAACTGAATTAATCTCTTGTCTTTCTTCTTGTTTATAATGTTTAGATAAACCTAACATTTACCCAGGGATCCTCCCGCACGGAGCGACTGTCTCTCGCCCTCAGAGATGAATCCCCCGGGCAGACTGAGCCCACACGTTTACCTCTAAACAGTTTCACCTTCTCTTCAACTCTCTCTGCAAAGTTCATTTCAACTTTCCCTCAACTATCGGTCTCATGCCAGATTTAGCCTCAGATGAAGTTTTCCTCCAAAAAGTAACGGGTAAATGTAAAAAGTGACTTTCCATAGAGGGTAACCAAGTAAAGTAAGAGATTACTTTTTAAAGAAGTAACAAGTAATGAGCAAACATTAGTTTTTTAAAGCAACTTCCCCAGCACTGCATTTATTCAGTCACAGGTGGTTTTACAGCTCAAAAATACCTATAAAAACAAACATTCTGACTGTGAGCGGGGTCGCCTCTCCACAGATCTGACCTGTAACTGCGTCTGGTTTGGTCTCCATGAAGATAAAACGTTCCAGACAAAGCAATAACATCTCCATGGAGAAAAGCGTTTGACAGACCCTCCATCAGAAAAGTTACACAATGAACCTTTAAAGTAGACGTTACAATAATCTCACCTTGAACTCCCCGACCACGGAAGGATCCTCCCCCTCGTCTTGGCTCCGCCCCCTGAACAGTTTAAACGTCTGACAGAAATCGGACAAACCGGCGAACTGCTCCACCCGCTCCAGCTCGCAGTCGTACACCTGCACAAACAGACGAACAGACGAGATCTCAGTCAGAGTTCAGTCATTACATCATAAAAACATGACAGTGTTTATAGTCACCAGGGCTTCAGACCAATCACAGAGCAGCGCTGTGGTGTTGGGGGCGGAGCTAACGGTGAAGTGCAGCAGTAATAGTACTAGTAGTAGCACCAGTAGTAATAGTAGTAGTAGTAGTAACAGTAGTAGTAACAGTTATAGTAGTAGTAGTAGTAATAGTAAGAGTAGTAGTAGTAATAGTAGTAATAGTAGGAGTAGTAGGAGTAGTAGTAATAATATTAGTAGTAGTAGTAGCAGTAGTAGTAATAGTAGTAGTTGTAGCAGTTGAAGTAGAAGTAGTAGTAGCAGTTATAGTAGTAGAGGTAGTTATAGTATTAGTAGTACCAGTACCAGTAGTAGTAGTAGTAGTAGTAGTAGTAGTAGTAGTAGTAGTAGTAGTAGTAGTAGTAGTAGTAGTAGTAGTAGTAGTAGTAGTAGTAGTAGTAGTAGTAGTAGTAGTAGTAGCAGTAGTAGTAGTAGTAGTAGTAGTAGTAGTAGTAGTAGTAATAGTAGTAGTAGTAGTAGTAGTATAGTAGTAGTAGTAGTAGTAGTATAGTAGTAGTAGTAGTAGTAGTAGTAGTAGTAGTAGTAGTAGTAGTAGTAGTAGTAGTAGTAGTAGTAGTAGTAGTAGTAGTAGTAGTAGTAGTAGCAGTAGTAGTAGTAGTAGTAGTAGTAGGAGTAGTAGTAGTAGTAGTAGTAGTAGTAGTAGTAGTAGTAGTAGTAGTAGTAGTAGTAGTAGTAGTAGTAGTAGTAAAAGTAGTAGTAGTAGTAGTAGTAAAAGTAGTAGTAGTAGTAGTAGTAGTAGTAGTAGTAGTAGTAGTAGTAGTAGTAGTAGTAATAGTAGTAGTAGTAGTAGTAGTAGTAGTAGTAGTAGTAGTAATAGTAGTAGTAGTAGTAGTAGTAGTAGTAGTAGTAGTAGTAGTAGTAGTAGTAGTAGTAGTAGTAGTAGTAGTAGTAGTAGTAGTAGTAGTAGTAGTAGTAGTAGTAGTAGTAGTAGTAGTAGTAGTAGTAGTAGTAGTAGTAATAGTAGTTGTAGTAGTAGTAGTAGTAGTAATAGTAGTAGTAGTAGTAGTAGTAGTAGTAGTAGTAGTATAGTAGTAGTAGTAGTAGTAGTAGTAGTAGTAGTAGTAGTAGTAGTAGTAGTCAGTAGTAGTAGTAGTATAGTAGTAATAGTAGTAGTAGTAATAGTAGTAATAGTAGGAGTAGTAGTAGTAGCAGTAGTAGTAGTAGTAGTAGTAGTAGTAATAGTAGGAGTAGTAGTAGTAGTAGTAGTAGTAAGTAGTAGTAGTAGTAACAGTAGTAGTAGTAGTAGTAGTAGTAGTAGTAGTAGTAGTATAGTAGTAATAGTAGTAGAGTAGTAGTAGTAGTAGTAGTAGTAGTAGTAGTAGTAGTAGTAGTAGTAGTAGTAGTAGTAGTAGTAGTAGTAGTAGTAGTAGTAGTAGTAGTAGTAGTAGTAGTAGTAGTAGTAGTAGTAGTAGTAGTAGTAGTAGTAGTAGTAGTAGTAATAGTAGTTGTAGTAGTAGTAGTAGTAGTAGTAGTAGTAGCAGTAGTAGTAGTAGTAGTAGTAGTAGTAGTAGTAGTAGTAGTAGTAGTAGTAGTAGTAGTAGTAGTAGTAGTAGTAGTAGTAGTAGTAGTAGTAGTATTTACAGTACCTTGAGTGTGTCCAGTCCTTTGTCCAGATAAGCTCCACATTTGCTTTTTTCTCCAGTTGAAGCGTAGAATTTACTCCACCAGTCGATGAACTCCTCCCCCTGAAAACACCACCACAGTCACTTTAAAACTCCACTGACAGTGTTTGCTGAGGCGTGAGCTGTGTCCCTCCTGTGTGACTCCTAAACAACGGGAACGTGGAGGAGAAAGTGAACGACTGTACTGAAGTTTGAACCACAATCTTCCACCGGCGACGATTAAATGTGGGACAGATTTATTTGTATTTGAGACAAAGAGACATTAGCAGGATTAAAACTACTTAAGCCAACGTTTAAAGAGCCTGAAGAAGAGTGAGCAGTCGAAACTGTCTGAATGAATAAACAAACTCTTAGTCTGAAAAAAAATAACCTCATTGGACTAAGAAGTGAACCGAATTGAGCTGTATCTAACCCTCACTATAATTATTATTTTTTTTAATATATATTTATTGTCTGTTTTTCACCATTGTTCTTGAGACATGCACATTTCTATTTATTTGAATTATGGTGGATTGGAAGCTATTTTTTTGCTAGTACAATTACATTTTTGTTTACATCCATTGCATATGATTACAATTATTTTTCTTATGATTATTGTTTAAAAGTAAACTACTCTCATTTAATATCATATTGAGATCAAAATCAAATTGCTCTGAGGCCTCGGCACCGGCCCCTACAGGTTTGGTGACCCTAGGCGGTCACCTACTTTTGCACCTCCTCTGGGACTAATCAAAATCACTTTCTTCTGTCTAAAGAAAGAGTTTGTGACTGTGCAGTGAGAATGTCTGACCAAAGCTCCTACAGTGTCTCTTCTATATTCCCAGTACTTACCCAACTGAGCGTCTGAACGCATGAGAGAGGAAAACACAAGTCAGCATTTACATTTATTTAAAAGGCAGATACTATTTGAGTTTAAATGAGACTCAAACATGTCACACACTTGTACAAACCAAATATCTATAGGCGAGTTTCATTGTTGACAAAAGCGCGCGTTGCATGCTGGGAATTATTTTGGTCGGAGGCAAGAAACACTAATTCAACATGACGGACGGAGCGAGAAAGCACGTAAAGGGTATTGATCCTGGTTATTGATCCACTCTAACGGCAGAGGACCCAAGACCATTTGACCAGAAATTGGTCATAAGCATCGACGGACGACAAATCACCCTTTTCAACCCCGACAAAAGGTGAAACAAACCAAATTTCTGGTCAGAATCACCAACTACCTGGACAAATATTCACTTGGGCGATATCCACAATGACTTGGTGGAAACTCCTGGGCCATTCACAGCAGAAAAGATGAAAACCTCCAAGAGTCTCGATGTGTTGTTGAACTTGTTGGAGTCCACGGTTTGTTAGGATCTTCTACGTTTGCTCTGCGAATGTTTGAAAGTCGTTTAATTCACCGTTAGTGGTTCTTTTCACTCAGAATACGAAAAAGACATTTTCCTTCTTCCGTGCTTCTATTTGTGCGTCCGATAATGCAGCAGGAATTTACCATTATCGGGGATAAATACGCGAGGTTACGCACTGTGTTTGACGCTATCGTGTTTCTTGCCTCCGACCAAAATATTTCCCAGCAGCAACGCGGGCTTTTAATAACAATGACGTCAGCTGAAACTCGCCTGTAATTTGAAGGACAAAGGACAAAAACAACAATGCGGCTTTTACATTTTGCTTATTGTGTCCATTCAAATTGCGATTCATCTCGTAGCCTTATTTAAGATCGACACATTCTTAGTTTTTTGTTATAAAGCAGTGGGAAAATGGTCAGTAAAAGGATGGATAAAAACGTGTAGTTCAGTAAATGAAGGATTAAAGATACAGTCTGTGGTCTTGTTACCCACGTGGAGACTGGCAGAGGAGCTGGAGAGGTTAATGATCGCAGAGCCGCCTCCGTCAGCGAGCTACAACAAACACACCAGCAACACACACACACACACACACACCACACACACACACACACACACACACAGAGACACACAGAGACACACAGAGACACACAGAGACACGTGGAAATCAGGTTAGAACGTTAGAATTCGCCACACAAACTGTTAGTCTTATGTTACTGGACGTGTGAACTTGTTTGTAATAAAAACATAATCCATGTGTCACTCGTTCATTTGTTTTTCAAAATAAAAGCAAAAATAAGAAAACAAAAACCAAAAAAAAATATATATATATTTTCTTCGTTATTTGTTTCCAAAAACCAAAATGAAAAAACGGATAACGGATAATGATTCCGGTCTCAGTCCTGATTCTGGTCCCTGTCTCAGTCTTGGTCTCAGTTCCGGTCTGGTTCAAGTCTCAGTCCTGGTCTCAGTCCCGGTCTCATTCTGATCTGGTCCCGGTCTCAGTCCCGGTCTCAGTCCTGGTCTCAGTCCCGGTCTCAGTCCCGGTCTCAGTCCCGGTCTCAGTCCCGGTCTCAGTCTCGGTCTCAGTCTCGGTCTCAGTCTCGGTCTCAGTCCCGGTCTCAGTCCGGTCTCAGTCTCGGTCTCAGTCCCGGTCTCAGTCCCGGTCTCAGTCCCGTCGGTCTCTCAGTCCGGTCTCAGTCCTCGGTCTCAGTCCCGGTCTCAGTCCCGGTCTCAGTCCTGGTCTCAGTCTCGGTCTCAGTCCCAGTCTCAGTCCCGGTCTCAGTCCTGGTCTGGTCCCGGTCTCAATCCTGGTCTCAGTCCCGGTCTCAGTTTTGATCTGGTCCCGGTCTCAGTCTTGGTCTCAGTCTTGGTCTCTCAGTCCCGGTCCTGGTCTGGTCCCAGTCCCAGTCTCAGTCCCGGTCTGGTCCCGGTCTCAGTTCCTGTGTGGTTCATGGTCCTGGTCTGGTCCTGGTCTTACTCTCGGTCTCAGTCTTAGTCTCGGTCTCAGTCCTGGTCTGGTCCCGGTCTAGTCCTGGTCTCAGTTCTGATCTCCCGACAGGCAGAACTCTGGGCCGATCCCGACTCTCAGTCCTGGTTTAGTTCTTATTTTTGTTTTAATATTGAAAAAACAAATGAACGAACGAATGAGACACGGATTAAACACGACTCCAGGTCTGTTTTTAATCTTAATCAAACACCAGGGTTTCCAGCAGGGGGCGCAAGGAGACAAGACTTTAAACATGTCAAACATGAACTGTACCTGATCTGTGATGAGCGGCTCCTCGTCCCCGATGTTCACCAAAACATCATCACAAAACGAGTCCGGACGATGGTCTGAGAAAACAAAACAAGAAGCTTTTGTCAAGTGAGACGTATTAACTGTGAGTTAATGTGTTATGTAAAATAAACATGACCTGATGTGTGTCAATCTGAGGTAAACACATGTTCAAATTAAACGATATTTTCCAGTCACATCAGTCTGGGGGTTTTCTACATGTATCTCACATTAACAAACCCTGTCAAAAAGTTTCAACTCAAAACTCAAGAAAAAATACAAAATAGATTTAAACGACACATATATGCCACGTTTACATGAGCGCTTTAATTCCAAATAAAAATTCAGATTTTAAAAAAATTCTGGATAAAAATGAAATTCAGCTTAATTCCAAACATGTAAACACTTAATTCCTAATGAAAATTATTGTCCATCCATACATCCATTTTCTTCCGCTTATCCGGGGCCGGGGCGCAGGCGCAACAGTCCCAGACTTCCTCCACCCCAGACACTTCCTCCAGGTGTTCCCAGTCCAGAGACACAGTCCCTCCAGTGTGTCCTGGGTCTTCCCCGGGGCCTCCTCCCGGTGGGACATGAACACCTCCCGAGGGAGACGTCCAGGAGACAACAGAACAGACGTCCTCCCCTCAACTGGCTCCTCTTTATGTGGAGGAGCAGCAGCTCTACTCCGAGCTCCTCCCGTGTGACTGAGCTCCTCACTCTAAGTGAGACGCCCAGACGCCCTGTGGAGGAAACTCATTTCGAGCGCTTGTATCTACGATCTCGTTCTTTCAGTCATTACCCAGAGCTTCATGACCAGAGGTGAGGGGAGGAATGAAGATTGACGGTAAATCAAGAGCTTCACCACAACGATCCAACACAACGACTGCATCACTGCAGACGCTGCACCGATCCGCCTGTTTATTCCAATTTTAAAGTCGAATGAATTAATAATAATTCATAATTAATTAATGAATTGTCCACTGTCAGGAACCTGTGATCAGCTCAACTGAAAGATTTTGAGCTGAGAAAAAGTTTATGATCAACAAATTGAACAAACCCCAATGGAACAGAGCTGACAGTTAACATCAACCCCCAGAGAATGTTAATCATGTCCATAAACATACATGCACAGCTCCCCAGCGCGAGGTCACCACCACTCACTTGTGAAGCCGCCTCCCTCCTCCTCTCCCTGGTCCTGGTCCTGGTCCCGGTCCGGTCCCGGGTCTGAGCGGTATTCCTCCAGAGCCCGGATGGAGCACTGTCCCACCACCGGCCTCCGCCCAAACTGACGGTTATCGATCACTTTCACCACCAGGGGGGGCATGAACAGCTCCTCCTGAGGCAGCCTCTGAAACCGCAAACACACCGAGACATTTAAAAGAGCTTTAGACGTTTTTGAAAGCTCGCTCAGATTTACAAATACGGTTCATGATAAATTGCAAGCATCGATGAGCTTCATTTGGCTGGAGCTGAACTTTGTGGCTGAGTACGATGGCCGTAAAGCTCCGACAATCCATCAAGCGGTGCGGCCTCGTAGTTTACCAAAGTCGTACTAAAACATTCTGACAGATTTTTGAGCGCCGTGTACCACATAAAATCTGTCTGAGGTCAGTAAACACACCCAGAATTTATACATAAGGCGCATTGTTGATTTTTGAGAAATTTAAAAATATAGCATCATGGTTTTTAAGATATCGGCAGTTTTATTTTGGGCCAATGACGTCGTCCAGCCCCTTAAAATGTTAAACAGCCTCGAAACAGGCAGAAAATTCTTTGAAATGTTTGTACGTTTTGTGCTGTGACAATTTTCATTTGTACGAGTTTATTTCTAATTATGAATCACTATTTTTGTGGAAATTATATGACGTCATTTCCGCTGCAGCTTTAGCAAAACTTCTCAAAACTAGTGAAGAGAAACGACCTGAGGCTGTGGAAAAGTCTTTAGTAATTTGCTTTTGATTCATATTTTATATAATAATACAGACAAATACAATATGAAATACAAATGTTTCGTATAATTTTCTGCCTGTTTTGAGGCTGTTTAACATTTTGAGGGGCTGGACGACGTCAACGGCCAAAAATAAAACTGTTAATATCTTAAAAACCAAACAAAACTTTCTGCAGCGCAAACGAAGCACAAAAGATTGACTCCATCTTGTGTCGTTTTAGAGAATTTTGAAGTTTCCTGGAGGCTGCTGACCTCAGTTTGACCAATAAAAGAATCATTAATATCGCAAAAACTAAAGCAACACAAACAAAACTTTTTGCAGCACAAACGTTTGACAGTTTTTGTGTAGGTTTGTGTTTGATGAGGGGATCAACTTCACGGAGGTAAGAAAGTTCTACCATTTAATGCTTGAAAATAACCTTCTATTGTCTAAATCACAGGTGTCAAACATACGGCCCGGGGGCCAGATCCGGCCCTCCAAGACCTTTAATGTGGCCCTTGGGTGATTTTCTACTAAAATATTTTAATGATATTTTCTATTAAAATCTTGTTAATTTTCTGTGGTGTTTATCACAGCAGCGTCTCCAGCGTCTCTGTACGTGGCCCCTCCCACCAGAGCAGCACAAATGAAGACTTGTCTCTTTCCAAACGCTCTTAAAGGACGATCGTTTTGACTGTTGACCGTGACACCCTCATCAGAAAAATGTCCAACATGAGAAAAGTGGAGCCGAGTGCAGGATTTTCCAATAAAAATTGACTTATTCCTGTTTACAGACAAGTTCATGTTAAAACTTTGTGTTGAAATTGAATTTTTCTTAAAGTTTCAGGTTGTTCATAATATTATAATATTTTGTAAAAGAAAGAGTTCATCAATTAAAAAAGATTTCTGTAATAGTTTGTGTTTCTCTGCACAAATATTTGAACTTATTGTTATTTTTGGGGGTTTATATGACATGAGTTTTCTGATCCGGCCCCTTCGGGATCAAAGTAGGTTGGACACGGCCCCCGGACCAAAATGAGTTTGACACCCCTGGTCTAAATAAAGAGTATTTTTATTATCACTGTGGATATTATTGTGAAATCAAGTCAGTTTAACTCGTGTTTTTGTAGTTTAAACTCACCACGTCCAAAATGAGCGTGTTGACGTCAAAGTTCGGGTTCTTCTTGACGTTGCGGATGACGCAGCTCTGCACCATGACGCCCCCACACTCCACCTGCAGGCTCGGGGAGGTAACGCTGGCCAACTGGAAACTCTTCAGGTTACGCACGCCCCACGCCAAAATCTGAAACAACAAAATCACAGAAGGATTTTGGGGACAAATGAGCTAAAATGAACGAATTCTGAATATTTAAATTGATTTAGTTCATTTGAGTGTTAAAAAAAGAAAAATCTGGCGGCATTTACATTTTTTAGCAAACGTTCCCTAATTTTTTTAGTCCTGGTTTAGTCCTGGTTTAGTCCAGGTTTTAGTTCTGGTTTAGACCTGATTTAGACCTGATTTTAGTCCTGGTTTAGTCCTGGTTTAGTTCTGGTTTAGACCTGATTTTAGTCCTGGTTTACTTCTGGTTTAGACTGATTTTAGTCCTGGTTTAGTTCTGGTTTAGACCTGATTTTAGTCCTGAGTCCTGGTTTAGTCCTGGTTTCAGTCCTGATTTAGTCCTGACCTGGTTTAGTACCTGAGAGTCCTGATTTTAGTCCTGGTTTTAGTCCTGGTTTAGTCCTAGTCCTGGTTTTAGTCCTGGTTTTTAGTCCTGGTTTTAGTCCTGATTTTAGTCCTGGTTTAGTCCTGATTTTAGTCCTGGTTTAGTTTTTTAGTCCTGATTTTAGTTCCTGAGTTTAGTTCTGAAAAGAAAAATCTGGTTTAGTCTGGCATTTACATTTTTTAGCAAACGTTCCTGCACTCCCTCGGTCAGAGTGAAGTGCTTCAGCTTTGTTTCAACATTCCACCTTTCCGACACATAAGGGAATGTGGCTCTTTTCGGGACAATGTTTTCACGGACTGGCAGCGTAGGAAGTACGGTATGGTTTAGTCCTGGTTTAGTCCTGGTTAAATCCTGGTTTAGTCTTGGTTTAGACCTGATTTAGTCCTGGTTTAGTTTGGTTAGACCTGGTTTAGTCCCTGGTTTAGTCCTGTTTAGACCTGATTTTAGTCCTGGTTTAGTCTGATTTTAGACTTGTTTAGTCCTGGTTTAGTCCTGATTTTTTAGTCCTGGTTTAGTCCTGGTTTAGACCTGATTTTAGTCCTGGTTTAGTCCTGGTTTAGTCCTGATTTTAGTCCTGGTTTAGTCCTGGTTTAGTCCTGGTTTAGACCTGATTTTAGTCCTGGTTTAGTCCTGGTTTAGACCTGGTTTAGTCCTGGTTTAGTCCTGGTTTTTTTAGTCCTGGTTTAGTCCTGGTTTTAGACCTGATTTTAGTCCTGGTTTAAGTCCTGGTTTAGACCTGATTTTAGTCCTGGTTTAGTCCTGGTTTAGACCTGGTTTTTAGACCTGAATTTTAGTCCTGGTTTAGTCCTGGTTTAGACCTGATTTTAGTCCTGGTTTTAGTCCTGGTTTAGTCCTGGTTTTAGACCTGATTTTAGTCCTGGTTTAATCCTGGTTTAGTCTGGTTTAGACCTGATTTTAGTCCTGGTTTAGTCCTGGTTTAGACCTGATTTTGGTTTTGGTTTTTAGACCTGGTTTAGACCTGATTTTAGTCCTGGTTTTAGTCCAGGTTTAGTCCTGGTTTAGTCCTGGTTTAGACCTGATTTTAGTCCTGGTTTAATCCTGGTTTAGTCCTGGTTTAGACCTGATTTTAGTCCTGGTTTAGTCCAGGTTTTAGTCCTGGTTTAGTCCTGGTTTAGTCCTGATTTTAGTCCTGGTTTAATCCTGGTTTAGTCCTGGTTTAGACCTGATTTTAGTCCTGGTTTTAGTCCTGGTTTAGTCCTGGTTTAGTCCAGGTTTTAGTCCTGGTTTAGTCCTGGTTTAGTCCTGGTTTTAGTCCTGGTTTAGTCCAGGTTTTAGTCCTGGTTTAGTCCTGGTTTAGTCCTGGTTTAGTCCTTTTAGTCCAGGTTTTAGTCCTGGTTTAGTCCTGGTTTAGTCCTGGTTTAGTCCTGGTTTAGTCCTGGTTTAGACCTGGTTTAGTCCTGGTTTAGTCCTGGTTTAGTCCAGGTTTTAGTCCTGGTTTAGAGGCGTGGCCCATGCAGTTTACAAAAGGCAGAACAGGTGCTGCTCCAAACTATGAGGAGGTTTTCAGAACAGCAACATAAAAAGTGTCAGAATGGAGGGTTGTTGGAATAACAGGACGTCGGGGTGAGGATCTGCTGGACAGGCCTAAATTTGAAAAGAGGATCTTAAATGTTCTTACCTCGATCGCCGTCCTCTGCAGCACCGGTTTGATTCCCTGTGGAACGATGAAAGACGTTCGCTTCCCTTTGAGGAGGAGGAGGAGGCAAATCCGACTCTTCAGGCTGGAAAATCACACAGGAAAAATACAAATTATAGTTTAAAAATTCCAAAATACGAGTCGATTTTAAAGCCGGATATGTTTGTACCCATTGCTGTTGGTTTTCAGCGAGGAATCCAGTGAACATGAGCTGAGAAAAAACAAGAAAGAAGCAGATTTAACACAGACATTTTTAAACATTTTTGTATAATATGACCTTTAATATTTGTTCGCAGTAAATGACCGACCTCGTCCAAAACCTGATACGAGGTCACAACGTCTCCCTGTGACAGAAAGACGAAACATTAAGAGATTAAAAGATTTTGAATAATAATTGGTGCAAAAATAAATAGTGAAATCTACAAACCGACCTCCAGACCGGGGAGGTGATGGACTGAAGGCTGTGGGACGAGAGACAGAAACAGAAACAGAAACCTGGTTGGTAAATTTGAGATTCGATGCATAATTTTTGTTTTCTGAAGAGCTCCGTCCTCAATGAATCATCTCCTCCTTTAAACACATTTAAAACTCGACCTCTCTTTATTGTAGACAAAATTAAACAACGAAATTTGACACTGGAGCTTCCTGAAAAATGAAAAATATTGAGAAACTCTGGCTTGCAATTTGATATTACGGTTGTGAAATTTATCCATGAGTTTCAGCTCAAAATGCACAATCCAGATTTTTCCAATAACGATTCCGATACTACATCTTTAAATATCTACTGATGCCCAGTTACGTAAAATATCACTCAAGATAGACTCAAAACAGCATTTATTTCCTTTGGATGAAATTAAAATAAGACAAAAAACTGATCCAAATGTGTGATGGAACTGTTACTTATTCTCATGTAATGAAGGAAGAACTTTGTGTAAACAAATGTTCAAATATTCTGAGACTTTCTGGTCTCAGAAATTCAATTGAATGCTGAAAAGAAATGTAGCCCATTTCTTGAGACGCATTTAATGTCCAAATAGGCGACTTATGGATCGTTTGATTGCTGGTTCAATGATTTTAATTGTTTAAACTTGAGTAAAACTAAAATGTTCAGAGACACGATCACTCAGTCAATAATAAAATATCTTCATTAATGTTCAATAATGCTCAAATCCACATTTATTTTATGATTTATGAATAATGTCTGTTGACTTGGGTCACAAAAAAGTTTAGGAGACACTGACTAGAGAGTCTAAGTCTACGTTCAGACTGCAGGGCTTAACGCTCAATTCCAATTTTTTTGAGAAATCAGATGTTTTTTCGAGGTCGTTCACATTTCCAGTTAAATGTGACTTGTGTGTGACTCCAGTGTGAACATTAAACGGCCCAAAAGTGTCCCACATGTGACACTGGAGACACGACGACGTCAACCGCAGCGAGCGTCTCTGTGTTTACAGAAGTTGTCCAAACATGGACGCAGCATCGAGCACCTGGAGATTTTAAAGTTCCTCTCGTACCGGAGCCAGAACATGAACAACTTACTTGTTTTAAGGAGGAGATTGAGAAGGAGAAGGACGAGGTTTTTGGTCGTGGTGTTTTGTGGGACAGAATGTTGAAAAGAACGTGTGGATGTGGAGATGGAGCCAAGAGTGGTGAGTGGAGATGTGCTTCACTTCAGTCACACAGAGTTCATTAACAATTTTCTCCTACTTCAGCGCAGAATAGTGACGTTTGTGTCTTGTTGATAACGTGTAGGTGGATGAATGCACTTTGTCCGTTCACACTGAAGTCACATGTTAAAGATCAGATATGTATCAGTTTCAGGAGCACAGATCCAAGTGTCCTGGGTCACATTTGAAAAAATCGGATCTGTGTGGTTCAGACTGACATTAAAAGATCAGATACAGGAACATAGAGACAAAAAATTTGATTTGTGTCACTTCAGGCTGCAGTCTGAACGCAGCCTTAGCTTCATAACGAGGGTATAACATGCCCATGTGGACTATCGGCTCATAATGGCAAGATTTAGGCCGATAGTTGATATGTGTCCATATCAGTCGGTCAGGCCCTAATCACCATGACAACAGTCCTAATTTATCATCCTTCTGAAACTCGTGGACATTAGATTGTGATCGAAACTGCTCTGTTGTCGTCGTGGTGTTCGTGCGTCGTGTCGTGCGTCTGACCTTATCCCTCTGGACGATGTGGAAGGCGGCGAGCAGCTCCCCGGCCGCCCTCCCCCCCCTGAGCACCGGGAACCACGAGAGACGAGGCTCCGGGCTGAAGGACGGCTGGCACACGCAACGCCCCATGAACTCATCTGCTCCCTGGACAGAAGAGCACAACATCAGAACATCAGAACATCAGAACATCAGCCCCGACCGTCTCCAAACAAACAAGAGCACAACAAGGAAAATAATAAACAATCTCAGACTTAAAGCGAAGTATCAGTGCGTACGTATGAGTCCTGGTCGTACAGCTCCACCACCACGTTGGGCGGGTTGTTTCTGGTGTTTTCCGCGTCTCCGAAGATCTCGACTTCGTAGAACATGAGCGTCTGGTCCCAGGTCGGGTTCAGGGAGTTTCGCACCGTCACCGTTTTCTGGGACTGGTGCAGGAAAGACACGATGGCGTAGGAGTCTGCGGAAAGAACACGACGCAGGAAATTGAACACACGATTAACTCATTCTTCTACAGGTACTAATAGAGGCTTTGCACCGTCACGTGACCCCTACAGCGACGGTACCTATGCCGCCATGACACCGGACACACTATGTCATTGACTTCAGCAGCATCGGAGAAACATGGGCAGGTTTTGTTGTGTATTTGGTTGTTCTAGACCAGGGGGGTCAAACTCATTTTGGTCCGGGGGCCGTATCCAACCTACTTTGATCCCAAAGGGGCCGGATCAAAAAACTCATGTCATATAAACCCCAAAAATAACAATAAGTTCAAATATTTGTGCAGAGAAACACAAACTATTACAGAAATCTTTTTTAATTGATGAACTCTTTCTTTTACAAAATATTATAATATTATGAACAACCTGAAACTTTAAGAAAAATTCAATTTCAACACAATGTTTTAACATGAACTTGTATGTAAATATGAATAAGTCAATTTTTGTTGTAAAATCCTGCACTCGGCTCCACTTTTCTCATGTTGGACATTTTTCTGATGAGGGTGTCACGGTCAACAGTCAAAACGATCGTCCTTTAAGAGCGTTTGGAAAGAGACAAGTCTTCATTTGTGCTGCTCTGGTGGGAGGGGCCACGTACAGAGACACTGGAGACGCTGCTGTGATAAACACCACAGAAAATTAACAAGATTTTAATAGAAAATATAATTAAAATATTTTAGTAGAAAATCATCCAAGGGCCAGATTAAAGGTCTTGGAGGGCCGGATCTGGCCCCCGGGCCGTATGTTTGACACCTGTGTTCTAGACGCTCTGAAAGGGATAAAACGATTCATTTCTTCACTGTTCCTCTGGAAATGACAAGGGAATTATCAAAAAAAAGACGCGGATTATGTCTAGAAACATAAACCACGAAGAGATTTCCAATGTTACCATCAACACACACTCACGTCACTTTCATCAAGGTGTTTGCTGTTTAAATAGTTTCATAGTTTATTTAATGAGAGAAGCACATTTACTGAACTAAAATGTAAAAAGAAAACATTTGCAGTGTGAGTGTGAGTAGAAACTGTCTCTTCCAGCACATATAAACATGTCACTCGTCGTAGGACCAATGTTTTCTTTATTGTCTTGTTTATCCACAACTATGTCTTCTAGAATTAATCTCTTTTTGTGAGTGGATCTTTCTAACGTTCACGAGGATCTTTTCGTGGTCGATTCTTTCGAGGTTCGGCTCACAGACTCTTCGACTCGTGCGTCGTGTTGATCACAGGAGCCCAGTGTGGGTTCGTTGAATCGTAAACTAGTGCTGGTTTTCCTGGATAAATTAATGACATTTTAGTTCAGTAAATGTGCTTCTTTCATTAAATAAACTATGAAACAATTTAAATAGCAAATACCTTGATGAAACTTCGGGTGTCTTGATGGTGCAATAGGAAATCTCTTCGTGGTTTATGTTTCTAGACATAATCCGCGTCTTTTTTTTTGATAATTCCCGTGTTTGATCCTGATGAGTCATTTCCAGAGGAACAGTGAAGAAATGAATTGTTTTATCCCTTTCAGAGCGTCTAGAACAACCAAATACACAACAAAACCTGCCCATGTTTCTCCGATGCTGCTGAAGTCAATGACATAGTGTGTCCGGTGTCATGGCGGCGTAGGTACCGTTGCCATGGGCGACACGTGACGGTGCAAAGCCTCTATACTCTGACTTATTCTCCGCTGTGACTTCTATATTAAAATGTTTTTCGTGAAGCGTGGAGAGGTTCTAGTCTTGTGTGTGAGGATCTGCTGCTCCTGTTCCTCCTGCACCACTGTCACTTGGCTCTACTGCGCATGTCTCCTGCAGAAAGAGCCTCCGTCCTGTCTGTATCATGTCAGTCGATCGCACCGTTACTTCTGCACCGCTGAACAATTTAACATTTAAACTTTAAACTTTTATAAAAGACAAAGACTGAGAAGACTGAACACAAACGCTCCCGAAAACAAAATCAGATTCTGCAGATTACAAACTGCAAGTCGTGAAATCTGCAGCTGAAAACGGAAATCGAGCAGCAGAAAGAAAGTTTGGAGTGAGAGAGAAACTTGTGACACCGGGAGGATGAACCGTGAAACTTTCCTGAAGTCACTGGACGAACGGACAAAGCCTGGACTTCAGTGACAATTCTGTAAATATAACCAGGTCTAGTTCCCGTCTAAACCAAGGTCTAAACAAGGTGTAACCGAGGTTTAAACCAGGACTAAACCAGGTCTGAACTGGAAGCTGTCCTAAACCAAGTCTAGGTCTAACTGAGGTCTAAACCAGGTCTATCCACAATCAAAATCAGAACCTGGATTAAACCAAGTCAAAGCCAGATCTAAACTAGGTCTAACCAGGATCTAAACCAGGTCTAAACCAGGTCTAAACCAGGTCCTTCAGTTTGCTTTGCGCATTTTTTGGCTGATGTGATTTATAGTCTAAAAAAATACAGTATTTGATTTGATTTGTTGTTACCAGAGAAGCTGTCCTTGTCCATGGCGGGGAGGTCTCTGGCCTGGTACAGGTAACAGCGCAGGTGGTAACGGGTCCCACCTAAAAACACAACAAGAAACAAGTTTAAAAACAGAAGTTATAGTAAATATAAGTGTAAAATATCTTAATTAACATAAACATTTGACTAAAGTGTGTGGATAAAACACAACTACAACGTGAAGTTAATGAGGAAACAATATTCCTCATGCTTTAAAGATTTGTCAGCCCTTTTTTAGGTCTTAGTTTAGTCCTGGTCCTGGTTCAGTCCTGTTTTAGTCCCGTTTCAGTCCCGTTTCAGTCCAGGTTTAGTCCTGTTTCAGTCCTGTGTTTTAGTCCTGTTTCAGTCCTGTTCCAGTCCCGTTTCAGTCCTGTTTCAGTCCCGTTTCAGTCCCGTTTCAGTCCAGGTTTAGTCCTGTTTCAGTCCTGTGTTTCAGTCCTGTTCCAGTCCTGTTCCAGTCCTGTTCCAGTCTTGTTCCAGTCTTGTTCCAGTCTTGTTTCAGTCCTGTTCCAGTCCTGTTCCAGTCCTGTTCCAGTCCTGTTTCAGTCCTAGTCTAGTCCTTGTTTTCAGTCCTACTTTAATCCTGGTTTAGTCCTGGTTTAGTCCTGTTTCAGTCCTGTTTCAGTCCTGGTTTAGTCCTGGTTTAGTCCTGTTTCAGTCCTGTTTCAGTCCTGTTTCAGTCCTGTTTCAGTCCCGTTCCAGTCCCGTTTCAGTCCTGTTCGAGTCCTGTTTCAGTCCTGTTTCAGTCCTGTTTCAGTCCCGGTTTAGTCCTGTTTCAGTCCTGTGTTAGTCCTGTTTCCAGTCCTGTTTCAGTCCTCTTTCAGTCCTAGTCTAGTCCTTGTTTTCAGTCCTACTTTAATCCTGGTTTAGTCCTGTTTGAGTCCTGTTTCAGTCCTGTTTCAGTCCTGTTTCAGTCCTGTTTCAGTCCTGGTTTAGTCCTGGTTCAGTCCTTGTTTTTAGTCGGGGTTGAGTCCCGTTTCAGTCCTGTTTCAGTTCTGGTTTAGTCCTGCTTCAGTCCTTGTTTAGGTCCTAATTTAGTCCTGGTTCAGAAATAATGACTCGACTCTGAATAATTCTGAATTGTAAGTTCAGCTCTGAGGGCGGAGACAGGGGGTAGGTGAAACTGAAAATACCGAAACTGATCACTTAAACATCCACAAATTAATCTAAATACAACTTTTTACGTCTTCTTTTAAAATTCAAAGACAGAATGGAACCCCTGAAGAAGTATTATAGTCTTTGTTTTGTTTTAACTCGGTCGAAGAAGCAAGAGAAGCAGAGTTTAGTCCTGATTTAGTCCTGGTTCAGTCCTTCTTTAGGTTCTAGTTTAGTCCTGTTTCAGTCCTGGTTCGGTCCTGTTTCAGTCCAGGTTTAGTCCTGTTTCAGTCCTGTGTTTTAGTCCTGTTTTAGTCCTGTTTCAGTCCTGTTTCAGTCCTGGCTTGGTCCTGGTTCGGTCCTGGTTCGGTCCTGGTTCGGTCCAGTTCTTACGGTCGAAGAAGCAGGAGATGGTCGGTCTGTTGACTCCAAATGTGGTTGTGACGGATTTGTCTTCACTGCGATCCTCAATACTGCTCTGAGAAGCACACAGAAAGAGATTTTAGTCCTGGTTTAGTCCTGGTTCAGTCCTGGTTCAGTCCTGTTCTAGTCCTGTTTCAGTCCTGTTTTAGTCCTGTTTCAGTCCTGGTTTAGTTCCGTTTCAGTCCTGTTTCAGTCCCGTTTCAGTCCAGGTTTAGTCCTGTTTCAGTCCTGTGTTTTAGTCCCGTTTCAGTCCTGTTTCAGTCCAGGTTTAGTCCTGTTTCAGTCCTGTTTCAGTCCCGTTTCAGTCCAGGTTTAGTCCTGTTTCAGTCCTGTGTTTAGTCCTGTTTCAGTCCTGTTTCAGTCGTGTTTCAGTCCTGTTTCAGTCCCGTTTCAGTCCAGGTTTAGTCCTGTTTCAGTCCTGTGTTTTAGTCCTGTTTCAGTCCTGTTTCAGTCTTCTGTTTCAGTCCTGTTTCAGTCCTGTTTCAGTCCCGTTCCAGTCCCGTTTCAGTCCCGTTTCAGTCCTGTTTCAGTCCTGTTTCAGTCCTGTTCCAGTCCTGGTTTAGTCCAGTTTCAGTTCTGTTTCAGTTCCGTTTTTAGTCCTGTTCGAGTCCTGTTTCAGTCCTGTTTTAGTCCTGTTTCAGTCCTGTTTCAGTCCTGTTTCAGTCCAGTTTCAGTCCCGTTTCAGTCCTGTTTCAGTCCTGTTTCAGTCCTGTTTTAGTCCTGTTTCAGTCCTGTTCGAGTCCTGTTTCAGTCCTTTTTTAGTCCTGTTTTAGTCCTGGTTTAGTCCCATTTCAGTCCTGTTTCAGTCCTGTTTCAGTCCTGTTTTAGTCCTGTTTAGTCCTGTTTTAGTCCTGGTTCAGTCCTAGTCTAGACCTTGTTTTCAGTCCTATTTTAGTCCTGTTCCAGTCCTGCTTTAGTCCTGTTTTAGTCCTGTTTCAGTCCTGTTTCAGTCCTGTTTCAGTCCTGGTTTAGTCCTGTTTCAGTCCTGTTTCAGTCCTGTTCCAGTCCCGTTTCAGTCCTGTTTTAGTCCTGTTTCAGTCCCGTTTTAGTCCTGTTTTAGTCCTGTTTCAGTCCCGTTTTAGTCCTGTTTTAGTCCTGTTTCAGTCCCGTTTTAGTCCTGTTTTAGTCCTGTTTCAGTCCTGTTTCAGTCCTGTTTTAGTCCTGTTTCAGTCCTGTTTTAGTCCTGTTTTAGTCCTGTTTTAGTCCTGTTTCAGTCCTGTTTCAGTCCCGTTCCAGTCCCGTTTCAGTCCTGTTCGAGTCCTGTTTCAGTCCTGTTTTAGTCCTGTTTTCAGTCCTGTTTTAGTCCTGGTTTAGTCCCATTTCAGTCCTGTTTCAGTCCTGTTCGAGTCCTGTTTAGTCCTGTTTCAGTCCCGTTTCAGTCCTGTTTCAGTCCTGTTTTAGTCCAGTTTCAGTCCTGTTTCAGTTCCGTTTTAGTCCTGTTTGAGTCCTGCTTTAGTCCTGTTTCAGTCCTAGTCTAGACCTTGTTTTCAGTCCTATTTTAGTCCTGTTCCAGTCCTGTGTTTTAGTCCTGTTTCAGTCCCGTTTTCAGTCCTGTTCCAGTCCCGTTTCAGTCCTGTTTTAGTCCTGTTTTAGTCCCGTTTCAGTCCCGTTTCAGTCCTGTTCCAGTCCCGTTTCAGTCCTGTTTCAGTCCTGTTTCAGTCCTGTTCCAGTCCCGTTTCAGTCCTGTTCCAGTCCCGTTTCAGTCCTGTTTCAGTCCTGTTTCAGTCCTGTTCCAGTCCCGTTTCAGTCCCGTTTCAGTCCCGTTCCAGTCCAGGTTTTAATCCCGTTTCAGTCCTGTTCCAGTCCCGTTTCAGTCCCGTTTCAGTCCCGTTTCAGTCCCGTTTCAGTCCTGTTCCAGTCCCGTTTCAGTCCCGTTTCAGTCCTGACCAGGGAGCACTCCAGATCGAAGATGGCTGCAGGTCCGGTTCTCTCCAGCGGCTCCATGCGACACCTCCACCTCCTCCTCCTGAAACTGTCCGTTTTCCTGGGCTTCATGTGAAACCTCCAGCCGAACACGGAGGCGTACTCCCACCCCTCCCGGTCCGGGTCCTCCACCCGCTGCTACGGAAACGCCACAAACAACACCGCCGTTATCATTCAGTTCAGGTTTTTTAACAACACTGCTATTACAGGTCAGATCTGTGGAGAGGCGCCACTGTTCACAAGAGGAATTATTGTATTTTTGAGTAATGGAAAAACACAGGTAATGAACTGTAAGTGTTAGATGGAAATGTTTAATTAAAGTCAGACCATGGAACTTTCCAGGTAAAGGAATAATGTAAAGTTTTTGGTTTAGTTTGGTTCAGTCCTGGTTTAGTCCTGGTTTAGACCTGGTTTAGTCCTGGTTTAGACCTGGTTTAGTCCTGGTTTAGTCCTGGTTTAGACCTGGTTTAGTCCTAGTTTAGTCCTGGTTTAGTCTTGGTTTAATCCTGGTGTAGTTCTGATTTAGTCCTGGTTTAGTCCTGGTTTAGTCCTGGTTTAGACCTGGTTTAGTCCTGGTTTAGTCCTGGGTTTAGTCCTGGTTTAGACCTGATTTAGACCTGGTTTAGACCTGATTTAGTCCTGGTTTAGTCCTGGTTTAGTTCTGATTTAGTCCTGGTTTAGTCCTGGTGTAGTCCTGGTTTAGTCCTGGTTTAGTCCTGGTTTAGTCCTGGTTTAGTTCTGGTTTAGTCCTGGTTTAGTCCTGGTTTAGTCCTGGTTTAGTCCTGGTTTAGTCCTGGTTTAGTCCTGGTTTAGTCCTGGTTTAGTCCTGGTTTAGACCTGATTTAGTCCTGGTTCAGTCGTCACAAGGAAAGATTCAGTGTTTTGTTTCTGTGGAGAAATTTTTTGATTTGTCCATTTTGAAATGAAGCTTCAGTTCAGAATAAAAACTGAAATTAATTGAAGTTTAAACAGAAAAATGTTCTAAATTCATGAAACAAACGAGCCAGATCCAGAACGAGTCAAAAACGAGCCAGAACAAGCAAAAAATGAGCCAAAAAGAGCCAGAACGAGTCAAAAATTAGCCAGAACGAGCCAAAACGAGCCAAAAACGAGCCAAAACAAGCCAAAAAGCCAAGCCTTTCTCCTCTGACGGTGGAGTATAAATAGAGGAGGTCGTCTGTACAAACTGGAGCTGTACCTTTTTGAGGGCGGCCATCTTGGTGAGGTCTCTGTGCCTCAGTCTGATCCAGCGCCTCCTTCTGTTGGTGTGGTACATTTTCTCGGCGGGGACCCAGGACTTTGGTCTTCTGTCCGGAGGGATGGTGATGCCGTACTCCCAACCTGAACGTGCAGCGGAAATAAAGTCACGTGACAATGTAAAAACGCTCTATAATAATAAAAAAAAAAGAAAACCACGGTGACTGTAGAGCAGGAGTGTCAAACTTATTTTGTTCCGGAGGCCGTGTCCAACCGACTTTGATCCCAAAGTGTCCGGATCAGAAAACTCATGTCATATAAACCCCAAAAATAACAATAAGTTCAAATATTCGTGCAGAGAAACGCAAATCTATTACAGAAATCTTTTTTTAATTGATGAACTCTTTCTTATTATAATATTATAATATTATGAACAACCTGAAACTTGTATTCAAATAGGAATAAGTCCATTTTTGTTGTAAAATCCTGCACTCGGCTCCACTTTTCTCATGTTGGACATTTTTCTGATGAGGGTGTCACGGTCAACAGTCAAAACGATCGTCCTTTAAGAGCGTTTGGAAAGAGACAAGTCTTCATTTGTGCTGCTCTGGTGGGAGGGGCCACGTACAGAGACGCTGGAGACGCTGCTGTGATAAACACCACAGAAAATTAACAACGATTTTAATACAAAATAGAATTAAAATATTTTAGTAGAAAATCACCCAAGGGCCACATTAAAGGTCTTGGAGGGCCGGATCTGGCCCCCGGGCCTTATGTTTGACACCTGTGCTGTAGAGTGGTTTTCAGACCTTGGTCGTCCACGGCTCTGTTGAGGTCCTCGCTCCACTCGGGGTCCTCCCAGGTCCAGCCAGGGGGACACTCCACCTCGTCTTTGGGCACGGCCTTCTCTCCGTTCTGACCAGGTACAAATAAAAACACTTTAGACTCACACATGAACAGAGGATCTCAGGTCGAACAGAACGGGCCTCACCACGTCCGTGTATCCCTCCGTCATCCCGATCCACTGGCCTCCAGGGAGACGCATCTGGTTTTCAAACACTTCCTCGGTGAACGTCATGTGACCCGCGTCCACGTCCAGCAGCAGTCTGCTCAGACACAAGCACAGAACTTAACTTCACAGAACTGAATATTTTATTTATTTATTTAAGACCAGAGGTGTCAAACTCAAATTCACAGAGGGTCAAATTAAAAAGTCGTGGGCCAATCTAAATATTTATTGAAAAATGTCAACATCATCTGCATGTTTTCTCTTCTTTCGAGATATGTAATGTTAAACCTTTTCTTATTAAAATAAATGTTTAATAATAGTTTTGTTTAAACACTGAATCCAGAACAAACAGAATATAAAATAATAACAACATTTTAAATAAATAATGTCTCTACAGTCGATCTGTAGCAGCTCTAAAACATGTTTAATATGGTCTCGTGGTCCAAATATAATTATATCATGGGCCAAATTTGGCCCCCGGGCCTAAGTTTGACATGTCTGGTTTAAGAAAAGGGTGAACAATGTATATGAACATTTAAACAAATGTAAATATAACAGATTTTAGTGTTGAGTTAATGTCTGTCTTCAGACTCCCTGCACCAAATAAAACGTAAAAACACAGTTTACACAGACTGAGTCCAGGGAAACAGGTGAACAAGGACGAGAACAGTGAGGGTTAAGGTCTGTTCAGATTTCATCAGAACATAACAACTGTTGCCGAAGGTTTCAGCTTGTCCAAGAAAGAGTGGAAGGAAAACGCTGGAGACCAACTGGACGTCTTAAGCAGAAGAAGTTTATTTATCATCAATAATCCAACCCGGGGGACTTGAAACATGAACATAGTGTGATTTCAAAAGTGAACATAGTGTGATGTTTGAGTGTTCAAGCTTCTAAAGGAGAACGTTTATACAGTGAGTTTAGATAATGGTGCCAGTGGTGAGTCAAGAGAAGATCATGGTGTAAGTAAAGCTTTTGTGAGTCAATGTTAAACTGAGATGTACGTGGAAGATAAATTAATAAACTTCTCTTACAACAACTTTGTTCTTGCTCCCAGAGCTGGACCAACAAACTGACGTCATGTTGTTGGTCCAGCTCCTGTTGTTCAGTTCTTGTGTCTCGCTCTCGTCTCATTCTCCACACTTCGTCTCTGTTCTGCCGTCCTGCATCACTGTCCCACATCTTCGCTCTGATTGGTTATTTATGCAGAGTGTCCCCAGGTTTGACTACCCCAAATTTAAGACCTTTTAAAGACCTTTTTAAGACCACTTAAATGAAAATTAAGACCAACATCACACTCATTATACGGCGAAAAAACACCAGATCCAATTCTAATAATGACCAACAGACTACAGTACGAGATCTAGAATCTAAACCGACTAACCGATTAAACCGACACTTCCCCATGATCCAACGTCTTCCTCCACTGCACTGATTATTTACTCATCGCTGCCGGCGCCAGAAACCAAAGTATTGTTTGCACAGACTCCAGGTTAGACGTTTTTTCACGTTATGTGATTTTTTTCTCCTTCCATTTAACATTACACTGCAGCCCGGTTGAATTTACCAAGAAATAGTCTAATGAAATTTAAAACCATTTAAAACCAAAAAAATAAGACTTGACAACATAATTTAAGACTTTTTAAGGTCTTAATTTAGGAACATGAAATTTAAGACCTTTTTAAGACTTTTAAGACCCAGCGCCTGCCCTTTTATGTGGCTGTGGTTTAAAAAAAAAAAGGAGAGCGCAGCAGCTGAAGCCGAGACTCACGTCCTCTCGGGGCTGATGTACCAGTCTCCGGCCCAGCTCCAGCCCGGCGACGGTTTGAAACTCTCTCTGGGCAGCTTCACTCTCCCCGTCACGTCACTGAACTTCGGATAAGTCAGACCTGTAGTTCCCCAACTGCCCACCAGGGCGAGCCGCGTCTGGTTCTCGTACTGAAGAAGGACACGAGAGAAAGACGGAAAAAAGTGTTTGGAGAAGGTTTAGTTCTGGTAGTTCTGCTAGTTTTCGTACAGTCCTGAGCTTCTCACCGTCTCTGCGAACACGGACAGTTTCCCTTCGGCGTATTCGTTGAAGTGTTTGACGTCGGAGCTCAAACCAAACCAGACTTTGACCCGGATCTGCCCCGGGAGCTTCGCCTCTGCCCCAGAACCTGAAGGATACTGAGAAACAAAGACACACCACGACACACGGTTACAACGACAGCTGCACTTTCTCTGGTCTGGACAAGATTTTGAAACTTATATCAGGTTATTCATCTTGTTTTCAGATTTATTATTGACTTACCAGTTCTGAGACTGTTTAATTCTAGTCTAGAGGTCGTTTATTTTAAGAGAACTAGTCAAATAAAATGATCTTGCTGTATGGACAGATCATTTCACTACTTTTAAATCATTTTCTGATCAATTTAAATGTTTATATCTTAAAGGTTGTATGGAGGATTTTTTTTTGTTTCAAATTGTCAGTGATAGATTATAGATGCAGTCGCCTTGTAATTATGATGACCAAAAAAAGAGAATAAAAATTCATCAACTCTGGACGTGGTGGGGCTAAACATTTGCCAATAGATAACGACACTGCCTCGTTATCTGTGAGCTGACAGGCTGTCAATCAAACTCCCTACGTTTCTAGTGTAACTGACTTGCCTGCGCCGCCGGTACGTGGTTTACGTACGACTGTCACACAGTCCACAGACGCAAGACGCACAGACGCTGTTTACTCCACCAACGCAACAGTTCTTTTTTTGACCTATATCTTCCTCGCAGTTCACACAAAGTTTGTTGCGATGGCGACAAGAATCCAGGAGCAGTTCGCCGCAAAAGAAAGTCCGTTTTTGAGGTCGCTGAAAGAAGAAGACAAGGGGAAAAGCAGCGAAGCCAAACTAAGGTGATTCTTGTAGATTCATTCCAGCGATGGCGCGACTGAAGCAGACGAAGGGTCTAAAGACTGAACCACTGGTCCACAAATTACTCCTGGACAGGAAACTTCTGCTTATTATGAAAACGTACTTTATTTCCAAGAGTTAGACAAACGTTTTTCAGGACACGAAAGCGATATCCTATGTCTGAAAACGTAATTTTCAAGGCAAAGAAAGAGTCCGCTTGCTGCTGCGTGTTGTAGCTAGTTCATTCGCACTGAATCTCCGCGCAACCTTCTCTGCTCCCCTTTCCTGCTCCTGTCCCCGCTGCCCGATCCGCTCTTCTCCCTGCTCCTCACTTCTCCGGGCACGAAATCTCCGCGCACCCCCTCCCCCCGCTCCTCACTTCTCCGTCTTGTCTAACCAACACTGTAGTTAGTTGTTTACAAGTCATGTGCAGCGGCTGTAAACAAACCTGTTTCTGGCGTAAGGAGGAGGAGGGAGGAGGCGTTTCTACGTAGGAGCTGTAGGGGAGGGGGGGGGGTTTCACGCATGTGCAACATTTGAAAAAGGACAAACAGTCGCTGGATTTCTCGTTCCTTGGAAAATCCTCTATACAACCTTTAAATGATGGTACAAAACTACTCTTCACTTTAATCCCTCCTGAGACTTTGCAGTGACATCGTGCTCGGTGTGTTCTGCATGTATCTCTGTGGTGGAATGCGCAGCTTTACTATGGTGACGCATTAGCAAACACAACCGAAAAAGATTTTAAATAATCTGAAAACTCAAGAAAAAATACAAAAGTGATTTAAAGAGCACATTTTCAGGAGGCTGTGATCAGTCCGAGCGTTCATGGTCCTGTAGTCCTCTGTCCCCTGTCCCAGCAGATTTATTCAAAACTACTGATTTGTTTCAGTTTCATACAAGAAATGTCCCAGGATTCTCTATTTTTGACCAATCCGATCCCTGCTGACAGTAAAAAAGAGACATAAACTGACATTTGTTTTGGTAAAATAAAGAAAAGCTGCTTAAAAACGACCAAAACACAAAGAAATTGTGACTATACTGACTCATGTTACGCACTTGCTTCACAATTTTATTATCACTAACCACCAAAAAATGGGGATGTCCCAGTTTTTGAACCTGGTCACCCTAAACAAAACACAACTCCAGCTGTGTTTTTGAGGAGACAACAGCATTATAATGTATACAGGGCAAGTGTCTTGAGCAGCAGCGTCTAAATATTAATTCATTTGCATAAAATTTTGGCCAGATATAGAACCAAATGCAGGGTTCTAATCTAGAAAATCTAAAAAAATCAAAAAAAAATTTTGGACCACCCTAGTTCCCATGGTAACTTTGGTAACTGCTGAACATTCTGCCCTAGGTGAACATACAGAACACTCCCAGCATGATCTCACTGCAAAGGATCATTTAAATAAATAATAAATAATTTCCCTTGTGGATCAGTAAAGTTTGTCAAAGTCTAAATGGTAAACAGCACATGGTTTGAATTTTTTGTTGTGGATTTTTGGACCAAATAAATCATGAAATCAGACTTTTTGACTTGTTTTTGTGGAGGTGTCAGGTGAAGGCTCTTGGGGAGTGTGGTACCTTGAGGAAGAGGTTCTGCAGCTGGCCGCAGTGCTTCCCTCGGTGCTGGGGGTTTGTGGAGAACAGGACGGTGTGGGCCGGGACTCGGTGATAGGCCAGTCTGCGATCTCCCTGCAGCATCCAGATCACCACGTCCGGGAGGCTGTTCTGAGGCTGGACACAAGAGGGCGCCACAGAGACACAGGTCAGATTTATGCTTCAGAAGAGGAAAGGCGTTTTTTGTTTTAACTGAAATCACAAAATGACATCATTTTCTTCTCTGCTGCAGTTCTTCTTTATATTTTTAATTGTTGCCTGTTCAATTCTGATAGAATTAGAGAAGTCGGTTAATTTACAGAGAACAGAGTGTGTTATGGACTAACAGACCGCATTAATAACTAGTTAAGGATGTTTAACTGTGTCCTATATAAGGCTCATGTTGATACAGACAAATATGCCACATTGCTTAATTCATGTGTTTCATAGTCTCTTGTGTGTTTCATGTCATGTTCCCGCGGAAGTATTTACGGTAACTTCACGGCGTGTTTTCAGACAGATATACCTTTGATTTCTTTGTATGAATCGTCGGCTAATGTTAATGTAAACAGTTAGTACCTGAATGTGGAAGTTATCAATTTAATATTTGCAAATGATATTTGTACGGGGACCAGTTCAGTCAGACGCGGGCGTGCCTTAAATTTGCATATAACAACGCCCACCAAGCGCACTGACCAAAACGAAGCCTCACGCCGAAAACTTGGCTCTTTCGCTTCGCTTCGCATCAGGCTTTTTCCACTACGCATCGCGCCTTTCCGCCTTGCCTCGCGGCGGCGAGGCAAGGCGAAGAGGACCAGGAAGACGGCCGGTCGGAGAGACCAGGGGGAGCTGTAACAGACCTGGAGTCGCACCTGCCGAGAGCTGAGGACCAGAGCCGGTGAAGGAGGCGTGGACCGCCCTGCCGAGTACCGTCATCACGCCGCTGCCTGCCCGTGCGCACGACCACCGCCGAACCCCGCCATCGCCGCATTCCACACGGGACCGAGAACAACATCGCCAAGTAAGGCTGGTTCAGACAGTGAATGAATAAGGGTTGGCATCCCTCTTACGATTGCGTCCAATTATTCCAAGGCAAGCGCAGTAGCGACTTAGCGAAACGCCATAACTGAGCTAAACTGAACCCCGTTTTATAACCACCTCAGGTTGTTAAAATCGGTGCTTTAATGTTACGTAACCAGAACTTGAAGCTGGTGTCTAGTTATTGTTTGTTAATAAACCACACAAAGGAATTTGCTGGTTTCAGTGATTTTTCTTAAAGTTATCATCAGGCACTTTTTCGGGTACGTTCCCTTCAGATTGATTTAATTGATAATTGTTGTTTGTCGCAATGGTTAAGTTTGATTCGGTCAGAATCTGGTGCCCCGCAAATGTATAATTTTCAATAATTCGTCAAAAGCTAAACCACATGCTCAAACAGACATCCAACAGGAGAAGACCGAGACCAGGTGACAGACATCCAGAGACACAGTGGAGCACTTCCGTATCACCACATGACATCACAAGGTGGAACAGAGACGTTTTTACAGTAGAACTCAGCCTAAATCTGCAGGGTTTGGTGTTACATAATGTTGTAGTCAAGAGCACTAACTGAGACCAAGACTGAGTCAAAGACCATGGTCAGGTCCAAGAGAGACCAGGACAAGACCGAGATTTTTAAAGGCAGAGACCAAGACAGGGACTGAGACCTCGGCCCATCGAGACCAAATCGAGACCATCTTTATAATTTTCGACATTTATTTGTATTTGTTATTTTGGCACAAATATATCAATGTTTTTATAAATCTGTCTCCATTTTATCACTCGACGAGTGAGTCAGACCAGTCCAGACGACGAGACCGAGACCGAAACTGAGTCCAAGCACCTTCAAGACAAAGAAAAGACCGAGTCCAAGCACTTTCAAAGACCGAGACAAGACCGACCGAGACAAGACGAGTCCAAGCCCAAAGACCGAGACAAGACCGAGTCCAAGCGCCTTCAAGACCGAGCCAAGACCGAGACCGAATTCAAGACCGAAGACGCCTCAAGACCGAGACAAGACCGAGTCAAGCGCCTTCAAGACCGAGACAAGACCGAGTCCGAAGGCAAGACAAGACCGAGTCCAAGCGCCTTCAAGACCGAGACAAGACCAGTCCAAGTGCCTTCAAGGACCGAAGACAAGACCGAGACAAGACCGAGCCCAAGTCCAAGCGCCTTCAAGACCGAGACAAGACCGAGTCCAAGCCAAGCGCCTTCAAGACCGAGACAAGACGAGTCCAAGCGCCTTCAAGACCGAGACAAGACCGAGTCCAAGCGCCTTCAAGAAGACAGAAGACAACGACCGAGTCCAAGCGCCTTCAAGACCGAGACAAGACCGAGTCCAAGCGCCTTCCCGAAGGACCTTCCTTCAAGACAAGACCGAGTCCAAGCGCCTTCAAGACCGAGACAAGACCGATCCAAGACGCCTTTCAAGACCGAGTACAAGACCGAGTCCAAGCGCCTTCAAGACCGAGACAAGACCGAGTCCAAGCGCCTTCAAGACCGAGACAGACCGAAGTCCAAGAGCCAAGCCTTCAAGACCGAGACAAGACCGAGTCCAAGCGCCTTCAAGACCGAGACAAGACCGAGTCCAAGCGCCTTCAAGACCGAGACAAGACCGAGTCCAAGCGCCTTCAAGACCGAGACAAGACCGAGTCCAAGCGCCTTTCAAGACCGAGACAAGACCGAGTCCAAGTGCCTTCAAGACCGAGACAAGACCGAGTCCAAGCGCCTTCAAGACCGAGACAAGACCGAGTCCAAGCGCCTTCAAGACCGAAGACAAGACCGAGTCCAAGCGCCTTCAAGACAAAGAAAAGACCGAGTCCAAGCACCTTCAAGACCGAGACAAGACCGAGTCCAAGCACCTTCAAGACCGAGACAAGACCTAGTCCAAACGCCTTCAAGACAAGAAAAGACCAAGTCCAAGTGCCTTCAAGACCGAGACAAGACCGAGTCCAAGTGCCTTCAAGACAAAGAAAAGACCGAGTCCAAGCACCTTCAAGACGAGACAAGACCAAGTCCAAGCACCTTCAAGACCGAGACAAGACCGAGTCCAAACGCCTTCAAGACAAAGAAAAGACCAAGTCCAAGTGCCTTCAAGACCGAGACAAGACCGAGTCCAAGCGCCTTCAAGACAAAGAAAAGACCAAGTCCAAGCGCCTTCAAGACCGAGACAAGACCGAGTCCAAGCTCCTTCAAGACCGAGTCCAAACGCCTTCAAGACAAAGAAAAGACCAAGTCCAAGTGCCTTCAAGACCGAGTTCAAGCACGTTTAAGACTGAGACAAGACCGAGTCCAAGCGTCTTCAAGACTGAGACAAGACAGTGTAAACACGGTCGAGTACAAGACAAGATTGAGTCCAAACACACTCGAGTCCGAGACAAGTCAGAGTCCAAGAGCCTTCAAGACCGAGACTAGACCGAGTCCGAACACGGTCAAGTCCATGACAAGACCAAGTCAAATCGCAGTTGAGTTTGAGACAAGAGCCTTCAAGACTGCGACAAGACAGAGTCCAAACACAGTCGAGTTCAAGACAAGACCGAGTCCAAGTGCCTTTAAGCCCGAGACTAGACCGAGTCCAAACGTGGTTGAGTCTGAGACAACCTGAGTCCAAGTGCAAACAAAACTCAACTCCAGGTCGGTTTGTGACGAGGAAACGACATTAGAACATCAGAAAATATAGTGATTTTCACCCTTTAAGTCGCTGCTAAGAGAATAAACACTGTTACTTGTGGCAGGTGCGTCTCCTCACCTCCTGAGCCATGTCTCGGAGTCGGGCGGCCCACTCGTCCGCCTGCTCCAGCACCACGCTCAGCTCCGTCTCAGGGCCGTGTTTGAGGCTCAGGGCCGAGTCCACGATCTGCTGCAGCTGCAGACAGCGAGTGTGTCTGAGCGAACGGTCCAGAGACGTCGCACACGCCCACTGCTCCAGGTCCGGAAGCTTCTGACTGCAAAACACGAGACGCACGAGACGCACGAGAGACATGAGAACGACTGCGGTACCGGGAATGTTCCGCAGTGTGACATTAAACAGATCTACTTTACATTAATTCACTTAGAGTTGCAGGTTTTATCACTCAAAAACACTGTTGGGCAAGTTACTTTGAAACTGTAATGTGTTATTTATTACTTATTACTGTCATTTCAAAGTAATTCGTTACATTACAATATTACTGCATTTAAAATGTAAGGCATTACATTACTATTGCATTACTTTAAGTTACTCTCACCAAAATAACTGCGAAGATGCTGAACTTTTGCGCCGTATATGGACTGAACCAGGACTAAACCAGAGCTGAACCAGGACTGAACCAGGACTATAACAGGACTAACCTCAGACTGATTCCAGGACTGAAGAGGAGGACTAAACCAGGACTGAACTAGGACTAAAACAGGACTAAACCAGAACTAAACCAGAACAAAACCAGGACTAAACCAGAACTGAACTAGGACTAAAACAGGACTCACTGTCGGGACGGGCTCGAAGGTGACCGCAGGAGAAAGGAGCGGCTCTGCTCCGCACCTCACGGAGGTAAGAGCGGCTGTCACTCTGCTGCTCGGGCTCGCGGCCCTGATTTCAGCAACTATTTGCAGGTACAAGACCCGGTGCAAGATTCTGTTACAGCGCGTAACTTCTACCTTCCTTCAGCGTGTCCAGAAGTCCAACTTTTTGTGCGACAGTGAGCATCTTCCTCTGTCTTTTGGGTGCGAGCGCAGGAGCCTTTGTCAGAACGTTTTGTCGACGTTGTGGGTTTTGTCGGGGAGAAAACTTGCAAACATACAGCACTTCGGACGACTGTAAACTAGGTCTAAACCAGAACTGACCCAGGTCTAAGACAGGTCTAAACAGCGTAGACTTCTGTGTCGGTCCTTTCCCCGCGGTCACCTGAAGATCTACGCAGCCGCGTCTCCGGCGTTTCCCCGCTGCTGATATCGAGGTGATTTTAGCGAATTTGTATGAAGAAAAACACACCACTTCGATCCAGGTTAAAAAAGCATTGTAACGCGCGTTACTCACATTTGTACCGAGTAAAATATTACTATTTTTTCTCCTGTAATGCCGAACATTACTGCTTACAGCAAAAAGCAATGCATTACTGTAATTCGTTACTTTTATAACGCGTTACTCCCAACACTGCTCAAAAATACTCCAAAAAACAGACATTCTGACTGTGAGCGGGGTCGCCTCTCCACAAATCTGACCTGTATCTTGATCTGGTTTGGTCTCCATGGAGATAGAAAGGTTTAAAGCCATAATGTGGAACATTCCAGACAAAGCAATAACATCTCCACGGAGAAAATGACTTGACAGACTCTTGCTTGTGTAGTTTTCTCGTTAAAAACAGACCTAGAGTTGTGTTTTGTTTCATTCACACCACAAATCCTGCATATACAGTTCTTCGCTCAAACTGAAAACACTCTGTTCCACCTTGTGATGTCATGCGGTAATACTGGAAGTGCTCCACTGTGTTTTTAAACTCCACACACTTTCAGTAGAATCAGTTGGATCATTTCAGTCCTGGAATCGTCGATCTCTCCTGAACAAAGGCTAAAATAAAGCTTGAAAACTCTTGCTTCATGACATCACAAGGTGGAATGGAACATTTTGAGCTTTGGAGACGTAGACAGTAGGGTGACCAGATGTTCCGAAAAATTTGGGGCAGTCCCGAAATCTAAGCTGTTGTCCCAAATCACGAATCCAGCCCTAAATGTCCCGAAAATGACACTCAAACTAAATCCTGAGTAGCTGTTTTCTGATAAACATTAAAAACTAGGCCAATGATGTTCATTATGTCTTCTTATATACTTTAACTTCTTAGGTTCTTTTTAAAGACAATGCAGTAAAGTGTATTTACCTTGTTGACATGTTTCGGCTGCTGCTGCAAGCCATCTTCAGAACTGTCACCGGTGTTGGTGGTGACGTGTCGTATATCAGCTGTTGTTACTACAAAGCAGAACAGGAAAACCTAAAATCCGCCACATCAGACACTGTAAAAGGAACAACCACATTATGGATCGGGACGGGGCTCGGGTCATTGGATCGGAAAACAACAAGTTCAAACGCTGGATCAAGGAGGACGGTGAAATCAGGAAACGAGGCACGGACAGCATTAACCGTGATGACGGAGCGTTCCTCCTTTCACACACCTGGGACACCCTCCTCCAGAGACACCGGGCGACGGGAGGCGTGGTCAGTCTGAGCCACCTGCAGGTCCATCAGGTCTGACCACGCCCACAGGAAGTAACAACAGCTGATATACGACACGTCACCACCAACACCGGGGACAGTTCTGAAGATGACTTGCAGCAGCAGCCGAAACATGTCAACAAGGTAAATACACTTTACTGCATTGTCTTTAAAAAGAACCTAAGAAGTTAAAGGTTAACATTAAAAACTGTTCGTAGAGCGATTAAGTCGACTGCACGAAGGCCCTGATCGCTTCTAGACGCTCCGATCACAAGATGTACGCTCTCTTTGTTCGTCTGACTGCAGGTGCAGACAGACAGGACACAGCAGTGGTCGTGTTCGGAGCTCAGTGCAGAGCAGAGGTGAGACAGTGAGGCGGAGAAACGGCGACGTGTGGTCAGAGGAGGCAGGAGACGCAGGGCCACGACCAGACTTCCCCTGACATTATGAAGTTAGGTCACTACGTTAAGTCGCTCGTCTTTAGTGCGCACGCTGAACGGTTCAAGACCCCGATTTGTCATCTTTTGTAAATAAAATAATGTATTAAAATGGAATGCTTTTATTAGTTGATGTGATTTTTGTTTGTTTGTAAAAAAAAAAAAAAAAAGCAACTTAAAACCCATCAAAACCCAAACCCCAACCTCCCGAAATTCAGCCAATCTCATCTGGTCACCAAAAGACAGACTAAGTGTTAAAATAAACCCTCAGCCTTTTCAGCAGGTCTTAATTTATAATAAAAATACTTTTACTTTTCAGTCCTGTTCAGAAATGTAGTGCAGTAGAAAGTACAGATACTTACTCTCAAATGTAGTGAAGTAAAAGTAAAAAGTATACACTTCAAAATGTACTGAAGTAAAGTACAGATACCTCAGATGTTTGTTACCTCCGCCAAGGAGGTTATGTTTTTGCCGGCGTTTGTCTGTTTGTTTGTTTGTTTGTCTGTTTGTTTGTCTGTTTGTTTGTTTGTTTGTTTGTCTGTTTGTTTTCTGTTTGTTTGTTTGTTTGTCTGTTTGTTTGTTGTTGTTTGTTTGTTTGTTGTTTGTTGTTTGTTTGTTTGTTTGTCTGTTTGTTTGTCTGTTTGTTGTTTGTCTGTTTGTTTGTCTGTTTGTTGTTTTTTGTCTGTTTGTTTGTTTGTTTGTTTGTTTGTCTGTTTGTCTGTTTGTTTGTCTGTTTGTTTGTCTGTTTGTTTTTTTGTTTGTTTGTTTGTTTGTCTGTTTGTCTGTTTGTTTGTTTGTTTGTTTGTTTGTTTGTCTGTTTGTTTGTTTGTTTGTCTGTTTGTTTGTCTGTTTGTTTGTTTGTTTGTCTGTTTGTTTTTTTGTTTGTTTGTTTGTTTGTTTGTTTGTTTGTTTGTTTGTTTGTTTGTTTGTTTGTCTGTTAGCAACATAACTCAAAAAGTTATGGACCGATTTTGATGAAATTTTCAGGATTTGTTGGAAATGTGAAAAGGAAGAACTGATTTCATTTTGGGGTTGATCCGGAAGAAATCCTGGATTCTGGATCACTTTGAAATTTGAGTTAACATTGTGGTAAATGGGGCCAAAAATTTTGTTTCTCAATATCTCGGTGAATTATTGACCAAACCCCATGAAGTTTGACTCAGGGATGGACAATGGGATCCTCTTTCATATTCCAAATTGAAAGATACGAGACAAATATTTATGGAAAACACAATTAACATGAGGGGGACTGTAGTCCTTGGCGGAGTCTGCGCTCTCTGACTGCTTTTCTAGTTTAAAATGTAAGTATAGATTTTAGGGTTCTGTACTTAAGTCTTAAGGTGCAGTACTTTACTACTTTTACTTCATTATGTTCCTAGAATCATTTGGATCATTTTAACTCTGGAACTGACAGTTATAGTTGTTGTTTTAACCTCATCGTAACTTCTTCACTCCACCATAAGATCTTGTAGATGTTCTTCCTGTGGGAGTCTTGAATAAAAACGGTTAAATTGAGGCTTAAAATAGCTGTTCACTTGAAAACTTCACTTCACTATCACCAACTGGAACAGAGCAGTTTAACTTCTGCAGGTGTAGACAGACAAATAATAAAGAGTTACTCAAACATGTGAATGAAACAAAACACAAGTCCAGGTCTGTTTTGAGGAGGGAACAACATTAGAACATGACGTAAAAATCACAAGAGTCTATTTTGTGTAATAAAAGAACTTCAACTGTTCACAGATAAAACAGAATAATCCACAGGTGTTAAAGATTATAACTCTAAGCAGATGAAGTTGTTAAAGACATTAAACATAAAAACATATTGTTGTTCTGACTCAGACCTGCAGTCCTCTATGACCTGGTCCAGGAGCTGCACCACGCTGAGCTCCAGCTGCTCCAGGTCTCCACCCGCCTGCTCCTCCAGCTTCACGGCTCTCAGGTTACTCTCCTGAACAGACAACACAAGATTTACACAAACTTCACCTGCGAACAGTTTTATCTCACATAAATAATCAGTGTTTCTCTGGATAAAACAGATATGAGTTTGATCTTTTGCTGCTGAAAGTTACAGAAAATAACACAACAACATAAAGTGTGTTATTATAGAAGCTCAGGTCCTGACCAGACGCTCGGCCGCTGACAGGAGCAGGTTCAGGGCGTGGATCCTGGGCCTGATGTCCTCCCACTCTGACGACAGCACCACCACCGGCTTCACGTTCCCCCACGGCAGGTAATAATACTGACACCCTGAGGAGAGAACAGGGTTTAAATAAAACACAAACCTCGTGCTCCTCACGTGTTCATATAATCTGCTCTTTACCGTCGAACACGGCGCGGCTGTACTGTGTGGTGGACGCCAGGGGCAGGCAGCTCGTGTCAAACTTGTTGCCATAGTTACCGATGCTGACCTCAAACTGCACGGCGTCGTCCACGTCCTGAAGGAGCGTCGCCGAATAGAACGCCACGAAGAGAGAAAACTTTCTCTTACGCAGGAACTTCTGTAGAACAAAACAGGAAAAACACTGAAGAGACGCGAGAGTCGATATTCTACAGAAAACTGTCACAGGAGTATGGAATCAGTTTGGAGTCAAATACCTCAAAGACGCTTTTAAAACATCAAGCAAAAAATCTAAATACCAAATAAAACAAAAATCTAACAAAATAAATATGCAATCAAATTATTTGTGTAATCATGTAAAATATCTGTCTTTGGCTTTTTGGAAACATTTTGTTTTTATTCTGTGTCTTTCACAGTTTTGTTTGATGCTGTTTTTTTTGGTTCGGATTCTTCTTGTTTGACTTTTTGGTGCAGTTTTGGCTCAGGTGTGACAGGTGGGCGGGGTTTCCATGGTGCATTCTCATTGACTCATTTATATTTGACAGACAGCTGAGCTTGGAGCTCCTGATGTTGTTGTGGACGTTTCTGTTGAAGTTTTGGCGACTGCAACACAGACGACAAGTTTGTCCAGAACTTACACTTCATAAACAGAATCATGATGTTCCAGAAGAAGCGTCCACCAGAGAATGATGAATATTAGAAAAGCTCTGAGCACCAAAACTACAACAGGAAACATCCACAACAGCTTCAGGAGCTTCAGGCTCAGCTGTCCGTCAAACATGGATTAGCCAATGAGAATGCACCCATGGAAACCCCGCCCACCTGTTACATTTGTCACAGGTGCTGTGCACATGTACAACTACATTTCATCCCTGACCTCTGGTCATCCGTGACTCATAGAACCATAGTTACACTTGTAACTTTAGTTTAACCACAAACAAAAGGAGGGAGGTTCATTCCTAAAAAGTGCACATTCCCTTTGCCTCTGGTGTTACACTGTAGTAAAACACTTTCTGTTGTGAATGAGGCTGTTGAGGCCACATAAACTTCTTGGATTCTTTTTTTAAAGACAGAACAGTAAAGTGTATTTACCTTATTGTTACTGTCTTGTCTAAAAAAGAACCCAAGAAGTTTAAGTACAAAAGAAGACAAAATGAACATCTTTGGTTTGTTGAGGCCACATCCTGCGCAAACACTGTGCAACAAAATGATGTGCCAAGTCTGCGCCTGATCAAGTGAAGGATCTGGAATCAGCCCCGTACTGTTCTGTCGTCCAAAGCAAGAAAAGTATCTGACCAAGGCTTTTTTTGTTGAAACGTTATTTCAAAATTTTAAAAAAGGCTTGTGGACATCGGCCATCTGAGTGCGCTATGCATTTTTTCACTTTTGTCTTCTGCTCCTTACATTTGCACCTCAACAAGAACTTTGGTGTGAGTTTTCTGTTTCTTTTGGAATCAGCCCGTACGACGAACTTCACAAACACAAGTGAAGTGTCTTGCCCAAGGACACAGCAGCAGTTTTAACAGTACGAGTCCTCACGGTACCGTCGCAGTTCTTCTCACCTCCACCACCAGCAGTTCGTCTGGGGTGATGTCTTCAGTTTTCTGCTCGGGTTTGTCCACCAGTTTAGTGCTGAGTTCGAGTAAGACGCGTCCGCGATACGCCACGCCCTCCCCCTGTCAACAGAACAAACACACGTGAGCGCAGGAACAAGGAAAACACGTAAAAGAATAAAACACGTAAAAGAATAAAACACGTAAAACAGGAGTGTCAAACTCATTTTGTTCCGGGGGCCGTATCCAACCGACTTTGATCCCAAAGTGTCCGGATCAGAAAACTCATGTCATATAAACCCCAAAAATAACAATAAGTTCAAATATTTGTGCAGAGAAACACAAATCTATTACAGAAATCTTTTTGAAATTGATGAACTCTTTCTTTTACAAAATATTATAATATTATGAACAACCTGAAACTTTAAGAAAAAATCTATTTCAAAACAATGTTTTAACATGAACTTGTCTGTAAACAGGAATAAGTTCATTTTTCTTATAAAATCCTGCACTCGGCTCCACTTTTCTCATGTTGGACATTTTTCTGATGAGGGTGTCACGGTCAACAGTCAAAACGATCGTCCTTTAAGAGCGTTTGGAAAGAGACAAGTCTTCATTTGTGCTGCTCTGGTGGGAGGGGCCACGTACAGAGACGCTGGAGACGCTGCTGTGATAAACACCACAGAAAATTAACACGATTTTAATAGAAAATATAATTAAAATATTTTAGTAGAAAATCACCCAAGGGCCACATTAAAGGTCTTGGAGGGCCGGATCTGGCCCCCGGGCCGTATGTTTGACACCTGTGACGTAAAAGAATAATCATAAAAAGCGTGTGTACTTTTCCGAGGTTGAGCGATTCGTGGGGGTCGTTGAAATGGCTGAACTCTCGAGGACTCCCGTAAAGATTCACAAAACACGGACCGAACGTGGGCAAGAAACCGAGACCGTCGTCAACTGAGGAAAAACAGGAAAAAACAAACAAAATAAACACAAAAATCTAAGTAAATAATTCAGTATTTTACATGTTATATCTGTAAAAAAGCTTAAATAAACAAATACATTTCAGAAAACCAATCTCGATTTAAGTTTTCATAATCATTAAAGGGTCCGTTTTACGCAATTTTCCTCATAACAAACAGACCTGGAGTTGTGTTTGTCTTTTCTCAAACAGAAAACGTTCTGTTCCACCTGGTGATGTCATGTGGTGATACGGGAAGAGCTCCAGCGTGTTTTTAAACTCCACACGCCTTCACTAGAATCATTTGGATCGTTTCAGACCCGGACTTGCCGAGCTCTACTGAAATAAAAGGTAAAAAAAAAAGAGCTGTTCACTTAAAAACCACAATCACTTCATGACATCACAAGGTGGAACAGAGCATTTTGAGCTTTGGAGATGTAGACAGATTAGTGTTGTAGAACTCGTGACTGGTTTTAGTCTTGAGACTGTTTTTACGGTCTTGGTTTAGTCTTGAACTCGACCGCATTTGGACTCGGTCTTGTCTCGGTCTTGAAGGCACTTGGACTCGGTCTTGTCTCGGTCTTAAAGGGACTTGGACTCGGTCTTGTCTCGGTCTTAAAGGGACTTGGACTCGGTCTTGTCTCGGTCTTAAAGGGACTTGGACTCGGTCTTGTCTCGGTCTTGAAGGCGCTTGGACTTGGTCTTGTCTCGGTCTTAAAGGCACTTGGACTCGGTCTTGTCTCGGTCTTAAAGGGACTTGGACTCGGTCTTGTCTCGGTCTTGAAGGCACTTGGACTTGGTCTTGTCTCGGTCTTAAAGGGACTTGGACTCGGTCTTGTCTCGGTCTTAAAGGGACTTGGACTCGGTCTTGTCTCGGTCTTAAAGGGACTTGGACTCGGTCTTGTCTCGGTCTTGAAGGCGCTTGGACTTGGTCTTGTCTCGGTCTTAAAGGGACTTGGACTCGGTCTTGTCTCGGTCTTGAAGGCGCTTGGACTCGGTCTTGTCTCGGTCTTGAAAGGCGACTTGGACTCGGTCTTGTCTTGTCTCGGTCTTGAAGGACTTGGACTCGGTCTTGTCTCGGTCTTGAAGGGACTTGGACTCGGTCTTGTCTCGGTCTTGAAGGGACTTGGACTCGGTCTTGTCTCGGTCTTAAAGGGACTTGGACTCGGTCTTGTCTCGGTCTTGAAGGGACTTGGACTCGGTCTTGTCTCGGTCTTGAAGGCGCTTGGACTCGGTCTTGTCTCGGTCTTGAAAGGTGCTTGGACTTGGTCTTGTCTCGGTCTCGAAAGGACTTGGACTCGGTCTTGTCTCGGTCTTGAAGGCGCTTGGACTCGGTCTTGTCTCGGTCTTAAAGGGACTTGGACTCGGTCTTGTCTCGGTCTTGTCTCGAAGGTCTCGGTCTCGCTTGGACTTGGACGGTCTTGTCTCGGTCTTGAAGGCGCTTGGACTCGGTCTTGTCTCGGTCTTAAAGGGACTTGGACTCGGTCTTGTCTCGGTCTTAAAGGGACTTGGACTCGGTCTTGTCTCGGTCTTGAAGGTGCGCTTGGACTCGGTCTTGTCTCGGTCTCGAAGGTGCTTGGACTTGGTTTTGTCTTGGTCTCGAGGTTTGAAACTCATCGAGTGATAAAATGGAGACAGATTTATAAAAAACTGATATAAATGTGCCAAAATAAATGTAAAATGCAAATAAATGTTGAAAATTTTCGACTCGACTTTTAAAAGTCTCGGTCTTGTCTTGGTCTCGACCCTCAGAGGTCTTGGTCTTGGTTTCGGGATCCTGTGGTCTCGGACTGGTTTTGGTCTCTGTTAGTGTGATCCTGACTAAGACAGACTAAAAATAAAGAGTTACTTAAATGTGTGAATGAAACAAAACACAAGTCCAGGTCTGTTTTTGATGAAAGGACTGATGACTTAAACCTCACAAGAGTCACTTTTGCACAATCTAAGACTTTTAAACCTCTATTATTTGACTAAAAATCACACAAAAATACATTAACAAAAGGGAAATAAAACAGAAATATAAAGTTTAGCATTTTAGGTTGATAAATAAACATAAAAATCCTCAGATAACATTGTGAATTCAGCCCATTTTAGACATTATGTTGCGCAGTGTGAACAAACTTTGCCAAAAAAAAAACATTAAAAGGTGCACTGTGTAACTTTAGTACGACACTAAACTTTTCCATCTCCATAGAAACAAGAAGAACACGCCACCAGGCTGATTTACAGGTCGGATCTGTGGAGAGGCGACTCTACTCACAGTCAGAACTCAGATTTTTTATGTATTTTTGAGCAGCCATTATCAAATAAACGCATCTTATATAAGGTTAATACCATATTACGGAACAGTATAGACAAAGAGTAAGAGTATCTCCATGGTAACGAACCCCCGACCTGAAAAGTTACACAGTGCAACTTTAAACGAAGACTGTATAAAGAAAAAGGAAGTGGACGTACTGCCGGAGTGGACGGTCCGCGGGGTGAAGTCGTCTGAACGCGTCGAGAGGAGCATAAATACAGTTCAGGTTTTTACACACAATAAAAAGAGTCTTTGAACGCCACACGACACAAACTCAGGCTCAACACAGCAAACACCGCAAAAAAACAACAACTATCACTTAAATAAAGAACATTTGACTTATTTTTGAGTAGATTCAACTTAAATAATGTAAAATAATCTACCAATGTAAGTGTGTTTTACTTAATTCAAGCAACAGTAGAGTTTGTTTCTTATTTTAAGTGTAAAGAATTAATGTTTGAGTTGCTGTTTGGTTATAAATGTAATATTATGTGTATGTTTATTTATACATTTTTATAATTGTGTCTTATTTGATACTAGTCTTTTGCTTTTTTTTTTATTGCTGCTTATTTAGAATTTATATTATTACCATTTTTATCTTGTTTTGTTCTTTGTTATTGTGATATAATGTGTAGAAGAAAGAAAAAACACAGCAGATTTCAACACTTTCTGTACGTTTGGCTCATGCAAGGACCAAACTCTTCACAAAACGCACACTCTGGTCACATGCATGTGTCACCAAACAAACCAAAACAGACAAAAAGAAAGCAAGACAGACAAAAACAAACCAAAGACAGACCAAACCCAAGCCAAAACAGACTAAAACAGACGAAAAGAAAGCAAAACACACCAAAGCAAAGCAAAATAAAGCAAAATAGACCAACAAAACAGACAAAAACAAACCAAAACAGACAGAAAGAAAACAAAATAGACTAAAACAGACAAAAACAGACAAAAAGAAAACAAAACACACCAAAAATAAACCAAAACAGACAGAAATAAAACAAAACAGACCAAAGCAAACCGAAACAGTTCAAAACAGTTCAAAACAGAACAAAACAGACCAACCAAAACAAACCAAAACAAACCAAAACAGAACAAAAACAGACCAAAACAAACCAAAAACAGACCAAAACAAACTGAAACAGAACAAAACAAACCAAAACAAACCAAAAACAGAACAAAACAAACCAAACCCAAGCCAAAACAGACCAAAGCAAACCAAAGCAAACCAAAAAAAGACCAAAACAGACCAAAAAGAAAGCAAAACCAACTAAATCCAACCAAACACAAACAAAAAACAAACAAAGAAACAAACAAAACCAAGCAAAACACACCAGACTGGATCACACGGTTCAGAAAACCACTCAGCAAAACCATAAAAAAGTTCAAATTAAAGCTCCTATATTACACAAAAGTGACTCTTGTGAGCTTTAAGTCGTGTTCTAATGTTGTTTTCTCGTCACAAACAGACCTGGACTTGTCATTTCCGTTGTGGCTTTTTGTTGTGTTGTTGTCGCATTTGTATTTGTTGCGGCGTGTGCGTTTGTTGTGACCCTCTCGGCGTCCGTACAAATCTTTATAAAAACATATTCATTTGAAGCTTTATTAGATCTCAAAATCTGTGCAAAGTACATTTTAAACAGGTACTTTACTTTTACTTGTACTTTTTTTTTATTAATTTGCTCCGGTGTCTGTACTTTTACTTAAGCAACCCAACTGAGTACTTCTTCCACCACTGAGTGAAAGTTGAGAGTTAAAAACACAGTGGAGCGCTTCCTGTATCACCACATGACATCACAAGGTGGAACTGAGTGTTTTCTGTTTGAGAGAAGAGCTCAGTCTAAATCTGCAGAGTTTGTGTGTCCAAAATGTGTGAGTGAAACAAAACACAACCAGTGTCGGGGAGTAACAGATTACATGTACTGGAGTAATGTAATCAGAGTACAAATGATGAGTAACTGTATTCAGTTACAGTTACTGTTTCAGTGAGTGGTAATTAGATTACAGTTACTTTGTTGAAATAAATGGATTACACAGAGGGATTTTCCTATTTTCACATTTTGGGATATATCCCTTTTTTAATTTTTTTTTTTTTTATTTCAGTAATTCCACTCATTGCCGGACACTAAACCAGGTCTAAACCAGGTCTAAACCAGGTCTAAACCAGGTCTAAACCAGGTCTAAACCAGGTCTAAAACCAGGTCTAAACCCAGGTCTAAACCAGGTCTAAACCAGGTCTAAACCAGGTCTAAACCAGGTCTAAACCAAGGTCTAAACCAGGTCTAAACCCAGGTCTAAACCAGGTCTAAACCAGGTCTAAACCAGGTCTAAACCAGGTCTAAACCAAGGTCTCAAAAACCAGGTCTAAACCAGGTCTAAAACCAGGTCTAAAACCAGGTCTAAACCAGGTCTAAACCAGGTCTAAACCAGGTCTAAACCAGGTCTAAACCAGGTCTAAACCAAAACCAGGTCTAAACCAGGTCTAGGTCTAAAACCAGGTCTAAACCAGGTCTAAACCAGGTCTAAAACCAGGTCTAAAACCAGGTCGGTCTAAAACCAGGTCTAAACCAGGTCTAAACCAGTGTCTCAAACAGGATTTAACAGGACTGAATCCTGCTGTGTGGACGTGTCTCGTCTTCTTCTATCAATAATATTTTTAATTTGGTTCTGTGAAGATTTCCTCGTCTTTGTTTCTCTACAGCAAATCAAGTAATCCAAAGTATTCAGATTACATTACTCACTTTAAGTAATTTAATGGATTCTGTTACAAACTACATTTTGGGGTCTGTAATCTGTAATCTGTAGGGGATTACATTTTAAAAGTCACCTTCCTGACACTGAACACAGCTCCAGGTTTGTGACGAGGAAACGACATTAGAATTTCACAAAATGGTAATATAGGCTGGGGTTAGTAGGGCGACATTTCAACGTTCAAAATTATTCGACTACATGGATTTTTGGGGGGAAATTGTTTTAGGTAAAAACACTGAAACCCATGCAGTTTTTAATTTTGTATTTTATTTTACCGTCGATTTGTCCTCCTGGAGCTGAGACCTTGGACATGCAGAGCTGAGACGTCCCGATCACGTCGTTGTGGCTCGCTCTGTCCCTGAGGAGGAAAAAAAAAAAAAGTGAGACTAAAATATCAGATAATAATCCATACTAAAACTAATATCGAAAGCCTCAATGAATTAATTAATATAAAAATAAGTAGAATTCACCAGTCCAGAATCCGGATCCGCATTTTCTCGCACATCGAGGGAAACTAGAAAATAACAAAATCATTATTATAGTAAGAAATGCAGCTCAAAAACTTTAAATTGTATGAGATTTTGGTTGAATATTGTGGTTTTTAAAGGTGTTTTGGTGTAGGACAGGGTGTAGTTTTACCCGGATGGGCATGGTCAGGCTCTGGTTCCACTGAGGGTTGGCGTTTTTCTCCAGAATTTTAGTGCAAATCTGAAAAAGAATCACACAAAAAACATTAAAAGCTCCACACAATATTATGCCATTTTCTCACAAAACAGACCTCGAGTTGTGTTTTGTTTCATTCACACATGTTTAACACATAAATCCTACTTGAATCATGTGGATAATTACAGCCTTGAAATATCCGGCCTCTACTGAACTGAAGGTAAAAGGAACAGTTAACATGAAAATTACCGCTTCATAACATTTCTTAGAAAGTGAGCCTTTAGCCAATCAGCATTCTCCATTAGAGCTTCTAAGTAATAGATCTTTTCCACAGTGGCCGCCAGTGTCCCTCTGTAGTTTAGCTGAACTTCCATTTAATGGTTTTCTGTGTCAAAATGTGTGTGTAAATGAGTGCGTACACATGCACATCAGTATCCCGGTTCTGTCAGTGTTCGTGTTACTGTGTTTACATGAGCACTGAGAAACCGGGACACTCATATCCCTGTGTACATGATCAAATGGAGTGTCCCGGTTTCTTGACATAATCTTACAAATGCGCAGGCGCAAAAATTTACTTAAATCAATTTAATAAACCAGGAAAAATACAAACCGTGAGCTCCTTTAGCATAAGAAGCTAAGGAGCTACGAGATCTCCCACAATCCACTGTGCAGATTCTTCATTAAAATCTTCTGCATAAATAAACTCAACTTTACAACATATAAACCATAAACACTATAGACACATCAGCCCGTTTGATCAGATCATTCAGCTCTGATCACATTTGTTTACATTTTACAGAAACGAAACTTAAGACCGTTTGGCTAATTAGCATAAACTGTTAGCGGCGATAAAAACAACTCGCTCCTAATGTGGTTCAGTTTCTTTTGGACTAAATGACACGACTCTGTGGATTATGTGTGTTATTTCTGTGACAGACGAGGTGCTGATGATGGTGAGTCTGTTCTGTGCGTGTGTTGTACAGGAGATAGTTCATGTTTTAGCTTTTCAGCGTCACATGAGTGCAGATTGTACGTGTGCAGGTTTAGCGCAGATCTTTATTTTACAGTCATTTCACTCATTTGGTCACTTTATTTATGTTGGTCACTTTATTTATGTTGGTCACTTTATTTATGTCTCTACTGTTGTGGTGAAAAGACTGGAAAGTGTCTTTTGGACGCATGTGCACTCAACTTTATGTTGCAGTAATCGGGATACTGCGTTTACATACCACAAGTAACCCGATTACTATCGGAATAAACCAGCTACAGTAACCCGGTTTCTAATAACCAGGATACTGAAACCGGGACACTGCGTTTACATGCACCATGAAGAAACCGGGACACTCAAAAAACCCAATCATAACCGGGTTATTGATGTGCATGTATACACACTCATTGTGTGTCGTATTCTCCAGCAGTTTCATAAATCTGCCGCATCACCAAATCTTCAACCAACAAACTCCACAAAGGATAAACATTCTAACATGAAGAATTTATCCACAACGATCAAGAGAAGAAAGACGAAAACTTAAAGGAAACAGCGAGCCACATTAGTCACACAAGAAACTGGACTCATGTTATGGTCATGAAGAAAACAGAAGGAGCTTGTTCACTCAGACTGATTCTAGAATTTAAATTGAAATTAAAATCGATTTCATGATGTTGATATAAGCACAGAGAGACTATGCAGTTTAAATGTGAGACATGTGATCTGTGAACATCTGTAGCGTTCAAACTGCACAAATCTATTTATGTTAATATCGACATCATGAAATCGATTTTTAATTCTAATTCCAGAATGAGTCTGAGTGAAAAAGTTGCTTATTAATGAATGACTTATTACTTACATTATTCATTATCAGAACATTAGTTTTGCTCAGGAGTAGTTCACTAATGCTGTCCTGGCTGCCTACTTTGCTGCTGCTGCGCAAACTTAAAGGGATAGTTCGGGTTTTTTGACATGAATCTGTATGGTATCCAAGTGAGCAGTGTCGTGCATCCACACTGACTTTACCCCCGACAGCGTCCAGTGAGCCGAGACCCTTGAGGTTTTCGGTGCTGATGAAAATAGTCCGGCAAATTGACTGGGGACATTAAAATACAGCATTTTTCTTCTCAAAACAAGATGTGTTCAAAAGAGCGATACATTTGCATCACAAAACCATCGTCCTCGAAAAAGTCAGACCTTATAATTGCTTGGCACTATTTTCTCTCCGTTCGTATCACTGCACGCTACCCACAGGTGACAGCCGTGCATGGATCCATCACTTTCTTCAGTTGTTCGGCAGTGTTTACATGCGCAGACGCCGCCACGTGAGAGAGCTAACGTGAGAGCTAGAGACATAAGTTTATAAGTAAGCTTGTATAAGATGCATAAGAATATCCCTTTGGCTTTGTGGTAAAGGCAATGTCTTCATCGTCGGTGTCATGTCGTTAACATTCCAAGTAGTAAACAAAGTGAACCAGGCGCGGCTGTCACCTGTGGGTAGCGCGCACTGATACGAACGGAGAGAAACTAGTGCCAAGTGATTATGAGGTCTGACTTTTTCGAGGACGATGGTTTTGTGACGCAAATGTATCGCTCTTTTGAACACATGTTGTTTTGAGAAGAAAAATGCTTTATTTTAATGTCCCCAGCCAACTTGCCGGACTACTTTCGTCAGCACCGAAAACGGCCAGGGTTTCAGCTCACCGGACGCTGTCGGGGGTAAAGTCAGTGTGGATGCACGACACTGCTCACGGGGATGCCAGAGAGATTTATGTCAAAAAACCCGAACTATCCCTTTAAATATGACTTTCTTAAAATCTCATCTGTATCTACATCTATATCTGTAATCTCTCTTTCTAGGGTGCCCTCTGTACATCTGGCAAAGGACTGCAGATGGAAACTAACCTCCTGGCATATTATGAAGTTGGTCAATATGCACCGTCTTTGCTATATATAAATAAATACATCAATAAATAAATAAATCACAAGGTGGGACAGAGCATTTTGAGCTTTGTAGATATAAACAGATTGATAATGAAGAGGTACTCAAACATGTCAATGAAAAAAACAAAAAACAACTCCAAGCAAAGAAAGGACATGGAGACAAGGTTTGTTTTTGAGGAGGAAATACAGGACTGTTAAAGGCTCACTATGTAAGTTTTTCTGGTAAAGATTCACCACCTGCTTGTCTCCATGTCATTTCTTGTCATTTAGTGCATCTTCAAATGAAAAAAAAAAAAAGATGACTTACAGTTTTTCCAGCAAAGTGAATCTCCACCAGCGGATCCACCAGGTTTTTTCTGTTACTGTCGAAACCGAAGAACTGCCTCATCCCGTCCATGATGGCGTCGTCCACTAGAGGGCAGCACACACCGAAAATCACTCTGTTGTACTGGAAACGTTCTTATACACCACCGGGCAAAAAATGTACACGTCTTCTGTATTTACGTGATTATTTACATTGTAGATTCTCACCGAAGACATTAAAATTAGGAGTAACACATGTAGCGACGCAGCAAACCAAAAATTCACTCAAAATAACTCAAAACTTAAACTAAAAACTAAAAAATTAAACAGCCGCCCTTTTCTTTTTGAACCTTATTTCAGGAGGCTCACTGCGAGAAGGCCAAGGATCGCAACAAAGTAAAAGGGTGGACACTCAAAAAATAGATCTTGCTTCATAAATTTGACGTCTTCTGTTTGTAAATAAAATGTAGAATAATAAAATGTATAAAAATGTCATAAAAATGTAAAATTAAAGAAAAAAAAACAAACAAAAAACACTGAACGAGAAGCTGTGTCCAAACTTTTGACTGGTCGTGTAATCGCTGATACTTTGCACTGACGTCGCACTGGGGGTGTTCTGCATGTACGTCTATGGTGGGATGTTTAGCGGTTACCATGAAGACACAACACACACATTAGAAAACGTAACCTGAAGTTTTTATGTCGCACATTTTCATATTCCTGTGATCGGTCAGAGCGTTCATGGTCATGTTTAAGGGTTTGATTTTCAAAAAAAATGTGAGAGTGACAAACTGAAAAACTGTTGGCTAATGCTAATGCTAATGCTAACGCTAGCTTGTGACTGTAATGTTATTCGAGAAACTTGTTTAATTAACAGCACAAATCAACTCTCCTGTTGTAGTTCCAACTAAACCAGCTCTTTCTGATCAGATTAAAATAAAGCTCAAATTAAAGTCTAATTTAACAAGAGCTTCAAACAGAGCACTGAAAAACTGTTGGCTAATGCTAATGCTAATGCTCGTTAGTTTGTGACTGTAATCTTATTTGTTTACACTTTATACAGTATAATAACAGTAGTACTTCTTATTTTGTGTACTTTATACAGTATAATAACAGTAGTACTTCTTATTGTGTGTACTTTATACAGTATAATAACAGTAGTACTTCTTATTTTGTGTACTACTTCTTATTTTGTGTACTTTATACAGTATAATAACAGTAGTACTTCTTATTTTGTGTACTTTATACAGTATAATAACAGTAGTACTTCTTATTTTGTGTACTTTATACAGTATAATAACAGTAGTACTTCTTATTTTGTGTACTTTATACAGTATAATAACAGTAGTACTTCTTATTTTGTGTACTTTATACAGTATAATAACAGTAGTACTTCTTATTTTGTGTACTACTTCTTATTTTGTGTACTTTATACAGTATAATAACAGTAGTACTTCTTATTTTGTGTACTTTATACAGTATAATAACAGTAATACTTCTTATTTTGTGTACTACTTCTTATTTTGTGTACTTTATACAGTATAATAACAGTAGTACTTCTTATTTTGTGTACTTTATGCAGTGTAATAACAGTAGTACTTCTTATTTTGTGTACTTTATACAGTATAATAACAGTAGTACTTCTTCTTTTGTGTACTTTATACAGTATAATAACAGTAGTACTTCTTATTTTGTGTACTTTATACAGTATAATAACAGTAGTACTTCTTCTTTTGTGTACTTTATACAGTATAATAACAGTAGTACTTCTTCTTTTGTGTACTTTATACAGTATAATAACAGTAGTACTTCTTATTTTGTGTACTTTATACAGTATAATAACAGTAGTACTTCTTATTTTGTGTACTACTTCTTATTTTGTGTACTTTATACAGTATAATAACAGTAGTACTTCTTATTTGTGTACTTACTTTTATTTTGTGTACTTTATACAGTATAATAACAGTAGTACTTCTTATTTTGTGTACTTATACAGTATAATAACAGTAGTGTACTTCTTCTTATTGTGTACAGTAGTACAGTAGTATAATAACAGTAGTACTTCTTATTTTGTGTACTTTATACAGTATAATAACAGTAGTACTTCTTCTTTTGTGTACTTTATACAGTATAATAACAGTAGTACTTCTTCTTTTGTGTACTGCATACAGTATAATAACAGTAGTACTTCTTGTACAGTATAATAGTAGTATTTTTCTCACTCTGGGGCAGGTCCTCGGCTCTGTAGACTTTGACGGTGAAAGTTGCTCCTCTCAGGGACAGACCGGCCGGACGCAGCAGGTTTCCCTCGATGTCCTCGCGCTCCTCCACACACTCGCGTTTGTCCGCCTGGAACACGACAAACACCACACGAGTCCAGACCCGAATCTCACAACAAAACACTTTTACTAAACACTTTTACTAAACACTTTTACTAAACACTTTTACCAAACACTTTTACTAAACACTTTTACTAAACACTTTTACCAAACACTTTTACTAAACACTTTTACTAAACACTTTTACTAAACACTTTTACTAAACACTTTTACTAAACACTTTTACTAAACACTTTTACTAAATACTTTTACTAAACACTTTTACTAAACACTTTTACTAAATACTTTTACTAAACACTTTTACCAAACACTTTTACTAAACACTTTTACCAAACATTTTTACTAAACACTTTTACCAAACACTTTTACTAAATACTTTTACTAAACACTTTTACTAAACACTTTTACCAAACACTTTTACTAAACACTTTTACTAAACACTTTTACTAAACACTTTTACCAAACACTTTTACTAAACACTTTTACTAAACACTTTTACTAAACACTTTTACTAAACACTTTTACCAAACACTTTTACTAAACACTTTTACTAAACACTTTTACCAAACACTTTTACTAAACACTTTTACCAAACACTTTTACTAAACACTTTTACTAAACACTTTTACCAAACACTTTTACTAAACACTTTTACCAAACACTTTTACTAAACACTTTTACCAAACACTTTTACTAAACACTTTTACTAAACACTTTTACTAAACACTTTTACTAAACACTTTTACCAAACACTTTTACCAAACACTTTTACTAAACACTTTTACCAAACACTTTTACTAAACACTTTTACCAAAAAAAACACAATATCATTATAAAAATACTGAGATGCAACGAGAAAGTAGCAGAAAGAACCAAAAATCTGATCAAGACCAGGATCTAAACCTGGGATCTAGACCAGGAGCCCTGGATCTAAAACCTAGGACCAGACCAGACCAGGAGCTAAACCAGGATCTAGACCAGGATTTAGACCAAAATCTAAACTAGGAGCTAAACCAGGTTCTAAACCAGGATCTAGACCTCTAGACCAGGATCTAGACCAAGATCTAAACCAGATGCTAGACCAGGACCTAGACCAGGATCTCGACTAGGAGCTAAACCAGGATCTAGGACCTAGACCATGACCTAGACCAGGATCCAGACCAGGATCTAAACCAGGATCTAGACCAGGACCTAGACCAGGACCGAGACCAGGACCAGACCAAGATCTAGACCAGGAACTAGACCAGGAGCTAAACCAGGATCTAACAAGGACCTAGACCAGGACCTAGACCAGGACCTAGACAAAGACCTGGACCAGGGTCTAGATCAGGATCAAGGCCAGAATCAAGACCAGGATCTAAACCAGATGCTAGACCAGGATCTAGACCAGGACCTAGACCAGGATCTAACAAGGATCTAGACCAGGATTTAAACCAGGACCTAGACCAGGATCTGGACCAGGACCTAGACCAGGACCTAGACAAAGACCTGGACCAGGGTCTAGATCAGGATCAAGGCCAGAATCAAGACCAGGATCTAAACCAGATGCTAGACCAGGATCTAGACCAGGACCTAGACCAGGATCTAGACCAGGAATGAAGGTCGTCTTGAAAATAAGTGACTAAAGAACAAACTTGCACCAGTAAAACTAAAACACAACAGAATAAAACTCTGAGAGGCTCTAAAAGTCTGAAACTCTTTAAACCCTCATCGTAAACTCACCGGAGGCTCGTCGCCGGCCGCCAGCACGAACAGGCTGACCTTCAGATAACCTCTGACCCCAGCCGAGAGGTCGTCGGGGTCACAGAGGAGCAGCCATTTTCTCAGGAAACAGTGTCCTACGAAAACAGAGACGCACCAGAGTCAAAAGTGAAAGAACGAACGAACGTGACGGAACATTTCTGTATCGAACTCACTGTGTTCATTATAAACTGTCCCGACGTCCACCTGGGCAAAAACAAAGAACAGTTTTGGTCAAATTTATCATAAAAAAAAATAAGTAAACAAACTATAAATACATATAAAAATGATTAAAGGTTCAGTGTGTAACTTTTCTGGAGGAGGGTCGGTCAGTGCTTTTCTCCATTGAGATGTTTTTGCTTTGTCAGGAATGTTTCACAGTGTGGCATTAAAGATTTATTCAAAACAAAATGACACCAGCTCCTGTTGTTTAGTTCTTGTGTTTTGTTCTCGACTCCTCAGATGAGCAGAACTTTGTCCTGCAGCTCTGTCCCACATCTGCGCTCTGATTGGTCGTTTATGTGGGCGTGGTTTATGTGGGCGTGTTTTTATGTGGGCGTGGTTTATGTGGGCGTGGTTTATCTGCGTCCTCTCCTCACAGCTGAAGGAAACGGTGAGAAAATACAAACATCTGTACGAGACGCTCAGTGACGATAAAGACGCCAAATGACAAGAAATTCATGGAGGGAGATCACCGACATTTTAGGCTCGGACGAAATTCAGTGTAGAAAAGTTTGGAGTAAACTCGGTGAGAAGTCTGTGAAAACCAAACATTGGGTCACCAATAAAAAAGAGCGGTCAGACTGGGCAGTTCTGAACGAATGTTGTTCTTGTTCTTATCACCTCAAAACAAGAACAAAGTTCTTATGTTTTTATGAAGTATGAACAGGCTTTCTATTTGCATAGAGACCAAACCAGACCAAGTTCCAGGTCAGATCTGTGGAGAGGCGACCCCACTCACAGTCACAATGTCTGTTTTACAAAGGTATTTTTGAGCCATAAAACCTGCACCTGTAATTGAATAAATGTAAAGTCGAGCTGTTTAATGTCACACTGTGGAACATTCCAGGCAGAGCAATGACGTATCCATAGAAACGAGCAGATGATGGACCCCCCCAAACCGAAAAGTTACACTGTGCAGCTTTAATATATAAGAAATAAATTTTACCTTAAATTCGCCGATCACTGCGTCAGTTCTCAAAGATCGAGAATCACAAACCTATGGACAAATATTATTATTATTATTATTATTATTATTATTATTATTATTATTATTATTATTATTATTATAAATTAATTAGAACATATTAGCCATATATTTACTTTATATAACCTATATAACATTAATAAACAGATTATATAAGTGTACAACTTTTACATTTTACTCACTACATTTGATTTATTTATGTATTTATTTATTTGTATATTTTTATTATTTTATAATATTTATTTTTTTTACAGAAGAATCTACACAAATTTAAAAGTAAGTCCAAACTTCTGACTGGACGTGAACAGGAATAAATAAACTTTTGTGTAAACCAGTTGTATTTTTTTGTTCTTACTGTGATGAAAATCGGCTCGTCGAACAGGTCTGAAGGAGTCTCGAAAAAGTTCAGGAAAAATGTCTGAGAAATGAAATGGAACCAGATTTTTTTTTTTTTTTAATTGTTGTATTTCATAATTTTTTTTTTAAATTTTGTTTATAAATTAGACTTTTACCTCGTCAAACTCGGGGTTGTTTCCTTTGCGTATCCGCGTCCTCTTGTTCAGCCCGGCGACCGTTACCTTGACGACGGGTTTGATGTTGATGCCCGGCAACTGACGAGCCTCGATGATCCGGACACGGACCTGAAAACCAGACCAGGATCAAGACCGGGAACAAGACCGGGTTTTGAACCAGGAGCTAGACGGAGATCAAGACCAGGATCTAACCCAGGATCTAACCTTGAAGCAAGACAAGGATCTAGACCGGAATTAAGACCCGGATCTAAACTAGATTCTGATTCTAGATCAAGACTGAGATGTAAACCAGGATTTAAACCAGGAGCAAGACCGGGATTTAAAGCAGAATATAAAGCAGGATCAAGACCAGGATCTAGACCAGAATCAAGACTAGCATCCAAACCAGGATCTAGACCAGGATTTAGACCAGGATCTAACCCAGGATCTAACCCAGGAGCAAGGCAAGGATCTAGACTAGGAGCAAGACTAGGATCTTAAATAGATTCTAGACCAGGATCTAGACCAGAATCAAGACCAGGATCCAAGCCAGGATCTAACCTTGGAGCAAGACAAGGATCTAGACCAGAATTATGACCCGGATCTAAACTAGATTCTAGACCAATATCAAGACCAGGATCTAAACCAGGAGCAAGACCAGGACCTAGACCAGAATCAAGATCAGGATCAAGACCAGAATTTAAACCAGGATTTAAAGCAGGATCAAGACCAGGATCTAGACCAGAATCAAGAGCAGGATCTAAACCAGATTCTAGACCAGGATCGAGACCAGAATTTAAACCAGGATCAAGTCCAGGATCTAGATCAGGATCTAGACCAGGATCTAAACCAGAGTAAGATAGGTTCTGTAAAAAAAATAAAACTCGTGATGTGACGATGAGGAAAATAAAACTTTCTGACTTCAGTAAACTCTTTTCAGGCGGTCAGTCCAAAATTTTAAACCCACAAATGCAAGTCAAAAGTAATATAGTTCATCTGTGTCTTGCCCAAGAGCACGGCGGCAGCTCAGAGTTGTTTACAGCCGTACTTTTGTGTCAGAGCCCAGACTACCTGCAGGTCCTGGGGTTTGTCGGGTCCGGTACCTGCAGGTCCTGGGGTTTGTCGGGTCCGGTACCTGCAGGTCCTGGGGTTTGTCGGGTCCGTACCTGCAGGTCCCGTGGGTTTGTCGGGTCCAGTACCTGCAGGTCTGGGTTTGTCGGGTCCAGGTACCTGCAGGTCCTGGGGTTTGTCGGGTCCGGTACCTGCAGGTCCCGGGGTTTGTCGGGTCCGGTACCTGCAGGTCCCGGGGTTTGTCGGGTCCGGTACCTGCAGGTCCCGGGGTTTGTCGGGTCCAGTACCTGCAGGTCCTGGGGTTTGTCGGGTCCAGTACCTGCAGGTTGTGGGTTTGTCGGGTCCAGTACCTGCAGGTTGTGGGGTTTGTCGGGTCCAGTACCTGCAGGTTGTGGAGTTTGTTGGGTCCAGTACCTGCAGGTCCCGGGGTTTGTCGGGTCCAGTACCTGCAGGTCCCGGGGTTTGTCGGGTCAGGTACCTGCAGGTCCCGGGGTTTGTCGGGTCAGGTACCTGCAGGTCCTGGGGTTTGTCGGGTCCAGTACCTGCAGGTTGTGGAGTTTGTTGGGTCCAGTACCTGCAGGTCCTGGGGTTTGTCGGGTCCAGTACCTGCAGGTCCTGGGGTTTGTTGGGCAGGGGTCGGGGCTGCTGTCCGCTCGCTCCCTTCCTCTTCCTGCGGAGCCGCTCCTGCCCCCTGTAGGACGGCGGCGAGCGTTTGGGCGTGTGCGCGGGCGGCGAGTCCTGCTCCGTCTGACCCTGAGGTCCCACCATGACCAGAGAGCGCCCGTCCTCCGCCCCGGCCTCGTCCGGAACCTCCACCATCAGCAGGCTCTCCGTGTCCTCCTCCCCCAGCGTGTCCAGAGAGATCACTGACAGCACACACCAAAACAAGAGTTACAAAAAAAAATAATAAAATGCAACAAAACACCAAAAATATAAAATAAAAAAAAACTGCAAAAATACACAAAAAATACCAAAAATATGCAACAAAATGTCAAAAATATATAAAAAAAACCCACACTGGGAAACAAAGCCGTGTTCATTCTATTTACGTGAACCCACGATGTGTCATTGACAGAGGGTGTGGATTTACCACCAAATGAAAACAAGGCCATATGAAAACGGACGTCACAACAGTGACAATAACAAGGAAAATAACAATCATGGATCACATCATCCACACCAGAGAGCATTTGTATTTATACGAGTCATTATTTATGTGTGCGAAGCTCTGACACAACAGCGATCTGCTGAGGAGAGGACGGCAGCGACGGCAAATACAAAAATGTGTAATCTTATCAGGCGAACACGGACACATGCAAGACCAATGGGACATAATAGTTTTTGTAGACTTAAAACTTTTAATTTCATACGTGATAGTTTCAGCTGCTCTGTTTATTTTACCGTGTGTGACCCGGATAAACGTGCTGACGTCTTCTGTGTCGTCACAGTTCGCTTAGAAAAAACAAGTTTTACTTGGTTCCCGTTGGGAAACAACTTTTTTGTTCCCGAACACTCTGATTTCCGGCGTGAACATGTGAGTCGGTTCAAGATTAGGTGCGGGAACCGGAACCGCCACGGCTCTGCTGGCCTGAAAACGCCTGAAGAGAAATCATTTTGTGTCTTGAATCTGCTGCTCACACTCACCCAAGACTGTGCAGCTTCAACGAAACATTTTGGAAAAAACTTCAACAACTGGCAACAAATTTGGACTTGTTACCAAAAAAGTGCAGAGTTCGGCTGCTTCTACAGGACTGAAGGATCTGGTTACACCAAAGCGTCATTGGAGGAATCTGGGTTTCCAGACTTGTTCTCCTCACAGACTCTTGGGGCGTCGCAAGAGTTTTTCATGAACTTGCTCTTGTTTCTCTTCTGATGTTGATGTTGGTCCAGATCCTTTAGTCCTGCAGAATCAACTGAACTCTTCTTTTCCTGCCTGTGAGCGGTGAGTGGGTGAGTGGGTGAGTGGGTGAGTGGGTGAGTGGGTGAGTGGGTGAGTGAGTGGGTGGTGAGTGGTGAGTGGGTGAGTGGGTGAGTGGGTGAGTGGTGAGTTGGTGAGTGGTGAGTGGTGAGTGGTGAGTGAGTGGGTGAGTGGGAGTGGTGAGTGAGTGTGAGTGGTGAGTGGGTGAGTGGGTGAGTGGGTGAGTGGGTGGTGAGTGGGTGAGTGGGTGAGTGGGTGAGTGGGTGAGTGGTGAGTTGGTGAGTGGGTGAGTGGGTGAGTGGGTGAGTGGGTGAGTTGGTGAGTTGGTGAGTTGGTGAGTGGTGAGTGGGTGAGTGGGTGAGTTGGTGAGTTGGTGAGTTGGTGAGTTGGTGAGTGGGTGAGTGGGTGAGTGGGTGAGTGGGTGGTGAGTTGGTGAGTGGGTGAGTGGGTGAGTGGTGAGTTGGTGAGGGTGAGCGGGTGAGTGGTGAGTGGTGAGTGGGTGAGTGGGTGAGTGGGTGAGTTGGTGAGTTGGTGAGTGGGTGAGTGGGTGAGTGGGTGAGTGGGTGAGTGAGTGGGTGAGTGGGTGAGTGGGTGAGTGAGTGGGTGAGTTGGTGAGTGGGTGAGTGGGTGAGTGAGGGGTGAGTGGGTGAGTTGGGTGAGTTGGTGAGTGGTGAGTGGGTGAGTTGGTGAGTGGGTGAGTGGGTGAGTGGTGGTGAGTTGGTGAGTGGTGAGTGGGTGAGTGGGTGAGTGGGTGAGTGGTGAGTGGGTGAGTGAGTGGGTGAGTGGTGAGTGGTGAGTTGGTGAGTTGAGTGAGTGGTGAGTGGTGAGTGGGTGAGTGGGTGAGTGGGTGAGTGGGTGAGTGGGTGAGTGGTGAGTGGTGAGTGGGTGAGTGGTGAGTGGGTGAGTGGGTGAGTGGGTGAGTGGGTGAGTGGGTGAGTGGGTGAGTGAGTGGGTGAGTGGTGAGTGGTGTGGGTGAGTGGGTGAGTGGGTGAGTGGTGAGTGGGTGAGTGGGTGAGTGGTGAGTGGTGAGTGGTGTGAGTGGGTGAGTGAGTGGGTGAGTTGGTGAGTGGTGGAGTGGTGAGTGGGTGAGTGGGTGAGTGGGTGAGTGGTGAGTGGTGAGTGGGTGAGTGGGTGAGTGGGTGAGTGGGTGAGTGGGTGAGTTGGTGAGTGGTGGTGAGTTGGTGTGAGTGGGTGAGTGGGTGAGTGGGTGAGTGGGTGAGTTGGTGAGTTGGTGAGTGGGTGAGTGGGTGAGTGGGTGAGTGGTGAGTGGGTGAGTGGGTGAGTGGGTGAGTGGGTGGTGAGTTGGTGAGTTGGTGAGTGGGTGAGTGGGTGAGTGGTGGTGAGTTGGTGAGTGGGTGAGTGGTGAGTGGGTGAGTGGGTGAGTGGGTGAGTGGGTGAGTTGGTGAGTTGGTGAGTGGGTGAGTGGGTGAGTGGGTGAGTGGGTGGTGAGTGGGTGAGTGGTGTGGGTGAGTGGTTCTTACTGGTGACGGTGTCCATCTCCACACTGGGGGCGGGGTGGGGGTGGGGCTCAGGGGGGGCAGGAGGGGGGTAGATGGGGGCGACTCCTGGAGGCGGCAGGTACGACACCTGCAGAGTCAGAGTGGCCTGAAAAAACAAGACGGAGAGTCAAGTATTTATTCATCAGTGGATTTACAGAACAGCTTCCACAGGAGACGAGTCATAAATCGTGCTTGAGTCGAGGCGCGGTGTTTGTGAAACTCTGAGACTGGAACAGGAAGAGGAGGTTTTACTTTATGAACGACGGGAAGAGACTAAATAAATCAAAATAAACCTTCAGATTCGGAAAACTAATTTAGTAACTTTCAAAACTGTGAGTTAGTTTCAAAAAACACAACTCCAGGTCTGTTTGTGATGAGGTAAGGACTAGTGCTGGGATTTACGACTCCTTTGTGGGATCCGAATCTTTTGGATCAGTTCATTTCGAAGAGTCGTTCAAAAGAAAAGTCTGTCTCTTTTTACAATTAATTATAACAGAAGACAGAACTCATTTAAAGCTGCATTGTGTAACTTTTCTGGTGGAGGGTTCGTCAAATACTTTTCTCCATGAACATTTATAGTTTATGTACATTTATATACATTTATTGCTTTATCTGAAATGTTCCACAGTAGGGCTTTAAACCTTTTTATCTTCATGGAGACCAAACCACACCAAGTTACAGGTCAGATCTGTGGAGAGGCGACCCCGCTCAGTCAGAATGTTTGTTTTTCAAAGTATTTTTGAGCTGTAAAACCTGCACCTGTAACTGAATAAATGTAAAGTGGAGCTGTTTAAAGTCACACTGTGGAACCAGAACTAAACCAGGACTGAACCAGGACTGAACCAGGACTGAACCAGGACTGAACCAGGACTAAACCAGGACTAAACCAGGACTGAACCAGGACTAAACCAGGACTGAACCAGGACTGAAACCAGGACTAAACCAGGACTGAACCAGGACTGAACCAGACTAAACCAGGACTAAACCAGGACTAAACCAGGACTAAACCAGGACTGAACCAAGATTAAACCAGGATTAATCCGGACTAAACCAGGACTAAACCAGACTGACTAGGACTGAACCAGGACTATACCAGGACTAAACCAGGACTGAACTAGGACTGAACCAGGACTATACCAGGACTAAACCAGGACTGAACTAGGACTGAACAGGACTAAACCAGGACTAAACTAGGACTGAACCAGGACTGAACCAAGATTAAACCAGGATTAATCCAGGACTAAACCAGGACTGAACCAAGATTAAACCAGGATTAATCCAGGACTAAACCAAGACTGAACTAGGACTGAACCAGGACTATACCAGGACTAAACCAGGACTGAACTAGGACTGAACCAGGACTAAACCAGGACTAAACTAGGACTGGACTAGAACTGAACCAAGATTAAACCAGGATTAATCCAGGACTGAACCAGGACTAAACCAGGAATAAACCAGGACTAACTGAACCAAGATTAAACCAGGATTAAACCAGGACTAAACCAGACTGAACCAAGACTGAACCAAGACTAAACTAGGACTAAACTAGGACTGGACTAGAACTGAACCAAGATTAAACCAGGACTAAACCAGGGCCAAACTAATACTACTACAAAACTTTTCTCCACACAATCGCTTGTTGATTCCAGGCAGAGCAATGACCACAGAAACAAGCAGGTGACAGACCCCCAACCCAAAAGTTACACAGTGCAGCTTTAAAGCTAAGAGTTCATTTTGTGTAATATGGGGCAGTTAAACAAAAGTGTAACTCACTCCGGTGTTGTTCCTCTTGGCGTCCATCAGGGAGATGGTGAACATGGCGGTTAAAGACGGAGAGTTGAGTACGTCTCGGAGGGACAGTCTGGTCTCGCCCAAAAGCCTGAACAAACACAACAGCATCAAAAAACTAATTTACAAAAAATATTTTTAAAGTTTGTGTCTTGTGGTGCCCAGTGGCGGAGTTTGCAATTTGGGAGCCCCAGGCGAACTTGAGTGTGGGGCCCTCACTCTAATGCACTGTTTTTCAGTTTTGTTTAGTTTTTTTAAATATATTTATTGTCTGTTCTTTCCCCATTGTTCTTGAGACATGCACATCTTTGTTTATTTGAATTATAGCAGATTGGAAACTTGTTTTTGTTTTTTAATGTATTCATTTTGCACATGTAACATAACAATAAATAAAAAAAAAAACACTAGATAAACACAGACAAGATTAAAAAAGTTGGTGCCGGAAAAACTTTCTTAATTCAAGTCGTCTTAACTTGGCTGGATTTAGTTTTTTGCAGCGCAGTCACACGAGTGAAAAATCATCTCAAAAAGGGACAAAAATTTAAGTCACTCTCAAGTTTTTGTTGAAAATCAAACTCCTGAACAGAATCGTGAACACTCGCACTGATCACAAGAAAATGAAAACGTGCTCTTTAAATCACTTTTGTGTTTCATCTTGAGTTTTCAGACGATCTTAAAACTTCCGTGTGCATCCGTTGTGTCACTATGGTAACTGCTGCACATTCCACCATAGAGATACACGTAGAACACCCCCAGCCTGAAGTCACAAGGGCCAAAACTGATCGATGTGAGAAACTTTTTTAAAAGTACAACTCAGCCTGTTGTAGTTCCAGATAAGACAGATTGTGATCAAATAAAGTTCATGTTAAAGTCTTAAACCGTGTCTTCAGACAGAGCAGTGCCTCCGGTTAGCGCTGCACTTCCAGGGTTCGTGACGTAACACTTCTGGAGCACGTGTGTCATATCTGGTGTAAAAGAATAGAGTCATAAATCACACATGAACGCAGCACAATCAGAGGATGCCCTCGCCGTTTCATGTCCTGAACTTTTCCAGAACAGAAGATCCACGCCCAAAAATTCCAACCGCTTCAAAAAAGTGACACAGATACGGAAAAAAAAAAACTTATATTATAGGAATTTCGTGTGATTGTGAACTAGACAAACTTCTAATTTCTTTCAAAAACATGATACAAAACTGTGCACAGAAACTTGACAAACCCGATGTGATGTGCGTTGGTTTTATTAGTGGGATGTTTGTTATGTTTGGTTTTATTTTAGTGCATTTTTAAGTTTTTGTGGATTTTTTTTTTTTTTTTACCTGTTGCGTCCGATCTTCTCATGATCTTTGACGACACAGTGCAGCTCAGCTCCAGAGTCCAGAGGAATCCCCTTCAGGTCCCACTCAAAACCCTACAAACAAAAACAAACAACAAAGATATGGAACAAAACACCAGCAATATACAAAAAATAAATAAATAAATAAAAAAACACCACAGATATGCAACAAACACAAACAATATATAAAAAACACCAAAAAAAATCTATAAAAAACACCAAAACATAAAAAAACCCACCAAAAATATAAAAAACACATCAAAAATATTATATATATATATATATATATATATATATATATATATATATACCCCCCCAAAAAAATTTATAAAAAAACTAAAATATACAACCAAACACCAAAAAACACAAAATATATACAAAAATCACACACACCAAAAAAAAATCACCAAAATGCCAAAAATATACAACAAAAAAGAATTATGTGTGTAAACTGAATGTGTGTGTAGTAGTAGTTTGTGTGTGTTATGTGTAGTTTGTGTGTGTTATGTGTAGTTTGTGTGTGTTGTGTGTAGTTTGTGTGTGTTGTGTGTAGTTTGTGTGTGTTGTGTGTGTGTGTAGTTTGTGTGTAGTTTGTGTGTGTTTGTGTGTGTGTAGTTTGTGTGTGTTGTGTGTAGTTTGTGTGTGTTAGTTTGTGTGTGTTGTGTGTGTGTGTGTAGTTGTGTGTGTAGTTTGTAGTAGTAGTAGTGTGTGTAGTTTTGTGTGTGTTGTTGTGTTGTAGTAGTAGTAGTAGTAGTATGTGTGTAGTTTGTGTGTAGTTGTGTGTAGTTTGTGTGTAGTTTGTGTGTAGTTTGTGTGTGTGTGTGTAGTTTGTGTGTTGTGTGTAGTTTGTGTGTGTAGTAGTAGTTGTGTGTAGTGTTTGTGTGTAGTTTGTGTGTGTTGTGTGTAGTTTGTGTGTAGTTTGTGTGTGTCATGTTGTGTACCTCATTCCACACGGGGTTGGGGTTGTTCTTGACAACTTTCGTTTTCTTCTTGGCCCCTAAAAAAAAAAGAAACAAAGATCGTGTCATAATAGTTGTGGACATATTTACGACGAATATTATTAAAAAATAAATTCTGATGGTTTATAAAAATACAGAAGATCATTTTAATGCCGCACTATGAAACTTTCAGGCATTTGGGTCATGATACCGTTACAGCTACAGAAGATTGTTGAGTGTGATTGGCTTTTGGAAATGCAGACAGACGAATAATAAAGAATCACTCAAAGAACAAAAGTCCAGTTTTACTCGTTTATCTCTTGGTGACTTCCTGTTACACGACCATTTAAGGTCTGACTTCCTGTCTGTGGCAGATATCACAGGAAGTGGAGTCTCTGTGGATTTATGGACCATTCAAAGACTCGTTTACCCCGAAACACGCTGATTTATTTATGCCGCTGGGTTTTTTATCGAGAATGTAACTGTAATTTATGACGATACACTAAATACTAAAAATATACAAAAAACACCAACGATATACAAAAAAAACCAAAACAAAACACCAAAGATATGCAACAAACACAAAAAATATATTAAAAACACCAAAAGTGTGCCACAAAACACCAAAATTTACAACAAAAATCATCAAAAATAAACAAAATACAGCAAAACACCAAAAATATACAACAAAAATCATCAAAAATATAAAAAGAACAAAACACCAAAAATAAAAAAAAAAACACCAAAAATATACAAAATTACACACCATAAATATTCCAAAAAATATATAAAATATATATAAAAAACTAAAATATACAAAAAAAACACCAAAAATATAAAAAAAACACACAAAAAATACTCAAAAAATTTACAAAACACATCAAAAAATATATTTAAAAAAAATCACCAAAAAAACCCAAAAAAACAAAACAAACAAAAAAAACATAAAAAATCCACCAAAAATATATATAAAACAAAAATAAAACAAATTAAAAACACCAAATATATATATATAAAAAAACACCAAAATAAATATATATAAAACTCACACTAAAAAATTCAATAAAAATATTTTTGTGACAAGTTAATGTGATCCTGTGAAAATTACAGGTTTGCTACGAGCTAATGAGGCTAAATGCTAACACTGTAGTTCACCAAAGTTTACAAAAACATGAACTTTTTATTGGGTATGTAACTGTAATTTATGATGATACACACATTATTTTACATTTTAATTGCCGTATTGATCAGGATACATTCACACTGATCGTCTTGAGGCTCAGTTCAGATGTTTTTAAGTGTTTTTTTCAAATTGTAAATAAAATGTGAATGAGTTTTTGTGGGAGTTTTCACACTTAAAGGTTTGTTCAGACCAGAGCGTCAAAGAGTCCAGTTTAAAAACAAACTCTATGTGATTTAAAGTCTGGGTTGTTCTGTGTTTTTGTGATCTTTTTTGTCTTTCAGGTTTCAGTGGCGTCAGCGTCAGAAGTTGAAAATACTGAACTTTTGCCATAAGACGTGCCCAAGCAAGCCTCACAGTGGGTCGATCGAGGTTCTCCTGGTGGCTGTGGGCCGACCGAGCATGTGCAGTAGTGCCCTTTTTTTCCACGGCAAATGTGAACGCACACGAACGCACACACAGAGCACGGTCTCATGTATCATGTGATCACTTTGACCAATCAGAGCGAGAGGAGCAGAGAGGAGCAGAGCGAATGATTATAAAGAGTTTTTTAAGACAAATGAAGGATTTTGAGCTGAGAAAAAGTTTATGATCTAAAAATAGGTAAAAATCACCACAAAACCCGACATTTTTGTAAGTTGTAGGTGCCTGTCAGACGAACACGAGCAGTTTGTGATTACTTTGCCTCTATGAGAAAAATCTCTCAGCCCAGGGGATTTTTTCCACTGAAGTTCCAGTGAGCGTCTCTACGACAACCATGAACGCACCGCGTCAACCAATCAGAGACGATTATCCAGTGACGTAACAACGTTATTATCAAGAAGAAGAAAGAGAAAGACCCAAAAACACAAACAGTACAACTGAGCTGCCAGGACTAAACCAGGACTAAACCAGGACTGGAATAGGACTAAACCAGGACTGAACCAGGACTGGAATAGGACTAAACCAGGACTGAACCAGGACTGGACCAGGACTGGACCAGGACTGAACCAGGACTGCACTAGGACTGAACCAAGACTAAACCAGGACTGGACCAGGACTGAACCAGGACTAAACCAAACCAGGACTAACCAGGACTAAAACCAGGACTAAACCAGGACTAAACCAGGTCTAAACCAGGACTGAACAGACTAACCAGGACTAAACAGGTCTAAACCAGGACTAAAGGACCAGGACTAAACCAGGTCTAAACCAGGACTGAATCAGGACTAAACCAGGACTAAACCAGGACTAAACCAGGTCTAAACCAGGACTAAAGGACTAAACCAGACTAACCAGGTCCTAAACCAGGACTGAATCAGGACTAAACCAGGACTAAACCAGGACTAAACCAGGACTAAACCAGGACTAAACCAGGACTAAACCAGGTCTAAACCAGGACTGAATCAGGACTAAACCAGGACTAAACCAGGACTAAACCAGGACTCTAAACCAGGACCAGGACTAAACCAGGACTAAACAGGACTAAACCAGGGACTAAAGGACTAACCAGGACTAAACCAGGTCTAAACCAGGTCTAAACCAGGTAAAAACCAGGACTGAACCAGGACTGGACCACGACTAAACCAGGACTGGACAGGACTATACAAGGACTGGACTAAGACTAAACAATTACTGGACCAGGACTGAACCAGGACTAAACCAGGACTAAATCAGTATCATTAGTGGAGTATAAATATAAAGACGCTCCAGTCTTTGAGTGGATCTTTTCCTCTGATGGTTTTATTTAATAAAAACACTAAAGTCTCTCAGTCTGGTCCATCGTTCCGGGAAAAGTCCGAGAAATGGCGCTTGTTTCCAGGGCAACGGACGTCGTGGACTCATCTGACACGTTTGTAGGTCAATAAAACAGCAGATGGATGCGTTTAAAGCCACACCGGGACATTCCAGACAACGCAATAACATCATCTCCATGGAGACGAGCAGCTGAGAGAACCTCCACTAGAAAAGTTCCACAGTGCGTCTTTAGTCTCGTCTAAAAGAACACGGCTCCCGCAGCAGAGGAAAACACTAAAGACTTGAGGAAGTTCTGTGGAAACTATTTTGATTTCTCCATTGTTGTGAAGAGTGAAAGTCCCATCACCTGATTCACACGAACTCAAACCAACACAGAGGCGGGTCCGAGGACTCAACCGTCAAACGTGTCCCAGAACTGGCGGAGGGTCCATCACCTGCTCGTTTCTATGGAGATATCGTCGTTTTTACAGCTCGAAAATACGGTGCGTCTCAGTGCGAGAAAACAGCTTCGAGAACAGAAACGACGCAAATTCGCAAACTCAGATACAAGTTTAAACGACGAACAAACCAAAAAAAAAAAAAAACGTGCAAATGAAATAAAATAAAAAAATCACCGAAAGATGCGCCACAAATAGAGAAACGACGCAAAACCCAAAACCGACATGAAAACCAAGAAAACACCAAAAAAAAAAGACACCACAACAGAACAGAACTGCACAACAACTCGCCCTTATGTAACAGATAATACTCCCTACAACTGTCCAACAACTCACTCTTATGTAACAGATAATACTCCCTACAACTGTACAACAACTCACCCTTATGTAACAGATAATACTCCCTACAACTGTAACAAACAGATGTAACTCACCTTATGTAACAGATAATACTCCCTACAACTGTACAACTCACCTTATGTAACAGATAATACTCCCTACAACTGTACAACAAACCTCACTGTACTTATGTAACAGATAATACTCCCTACAACTACAACTGTACAACAACTCACCCTTATGTAACAGATAATACTCCCTACAACTGTACAACTCACCCTTATGTAACAGATAATAATACTCCCTACAACTGTACAACAACTCACCTTATGTAACAGATAATACTCCCTACAACTGTCCACAACTCACAACCTTATGTAACAGATAATACTCCCTACAACTGTACAACAACTCACAAACCTTATGTAACAGATAATAATACTCCCTACAACTGTACAACTCACCCTTATGTAACAGATAATACTCCCTACAACTGTACAACTCACTCAACTCATTATGTAACAGATAATACTCCCTACAACTGTACAATTTACCTTTATGTAACAGATAATACTCCCTACAACTGTACAACAACTCACCCTTATGTAACAGATAATACTCCCTACAACTGTACAACACTCACCCTTATGTAACAGACAACTAATAATACTCCCTACAACTGTACAACTCACTCACCCTTATGTAACAGATAATACTCCCTACAACTGTACAACTCACCCTTATGTAACAGATAATACTCCCTACAACTGTACAACTCACCATTATGTAACAGATAAACTCCTACAACTGTACAACTCAATACTCCCTACAACTGTACAACTCACCCTTATGTAACAGATAATACTCCTTACAACTGTACAACTCAGCATTATGTAACATATAATACTCCCTACAACTGTACAATAAGTCACCCTTATGTAAGAGATAATACTCCCTACAACTGCACAACAAATCAACATTATGTAACAGATAATACTCCCTACAACTGTACAACTCACCATTATGTAACAGATAATACTCCCTACAACTGTACAACGACTCACCCTTATGTCACAGATAATACTCCCTACAACTGTACAACTCAACTCTAAATCTAAATAAATTTCTATTTCAAATATTGAACTCAACTCCAAATTCCCTCCGGCCTCAGTGAGCCTCATTTGACTGGCGCCGACACTCACTTCTGGTAGAGCAAAAAAAAAAAAAAAATCATCTCCGTGACGACAGAGAAAAGTTGCAGAGAGCAGCTTTAGCAGAGAGTCCTGACTGATCTGCTTTGACTCGGTGCCAGCGCGGCCATGGAGCTGTTTTCTTTCCTGTTTTCAAACACTTCACACCGAGACTC